GTTGCTCATGGCAGACGATAAGTAGCTGACGGCACGTGAGCAGCGCTACATCAGCGCTTCGCTGCATCTGAAAACCGGCCTTAAGAGTCAAGGCCGGTTCACACAGCCCCGTTTTCTTGTGGTACGATACTTTACGAAAGCTTACGTCTGCCAACGTCATGAGTCATCGCGGGACATCTGTGCGTCATGTTTCGGCACGGGTACCAGTTCAAGGAGATAGCCAGGCACGCGGCGGTCGGAGACACGAATGTTTCGTTGACTTACACAGGTAACGAAGGAAAACTACCGGTGCCGCGTGAACCAGACTTTTCGCTCAAGATGCACGTGTTCCACAGTTTGGTACAAAGGCTATACGGAGAGCAAGTCGTCTGTTTCTTGTGCAGGGGTTGTGGTGACGCCAGAACAACGCAGAGCTCTGATTTACTTTGATTGGAAGGATAGTGGGTAGACCTCAATGCTAGATGCCTCGAGGTCTACCCACCAGTATTGCGGAGTTGCCACTCCGGAGTTGGAATGATTCCGGAATCATTCCGCATTTTCACGACCCCGGAATGGAATGGGAATGGAATGGGAATGGAATGCCGGCAACGTTGAGGGGAATGGAAGGGGAATGGAGTTAGGTGCCTTTTGCCCGGAACGGAATGGGAAGGGGATGGGCACGGTTCGTTTTTTTGTCGTGTTTACGGTCAGCGAAACCGAGCCAGTCAGCGAGTCAGTTGCTCAGAAATAAAATGAGCGGGAAACTGCTAGATCGCGTGGAGCACTAACAGACTTATATGCCAAAAAAAATATGCAATACAAAAAACAAACGTCAAAGCAAAAAGCAAAAAGGGAAAGGGGAGCAATGTGGCGCCTTTCACGGACGCGCAGGCTTTGAGCTTCGATGGCGTTACACGAGAGCGAAACACGAAACCAAGCACCAAGCAAAAGAAAAGGGAGCGGCAAAGAAAGAAACCGCCATGCACAACTCCTCAACGTCCTTCTTGTCATGCTTTTTTTGTTGTTGCGACGGTTTGTAGAATGCACGCTCGCGCACAGACTGAAATCTGGGAGCGGAAGCGACTCATAACTGGCAGAGCACTGATAACTCGTTGACTCGGGCGCCGTCGAAAGATGATCAGGTATTGTTTTCTTATAGCTCGAGGCGCGTTGTTTAGCAGGCAGCCAACCCCGCTGCCTTCCACGTTCATTCGTGCGCACTCCTTTGAAGTGCGAAATGTGGGTTTGCTTCGGCATTAAAACAAAGCGAGATTCACTTCCCTCTTCTCCTCTTGCGCTTTGCTCCGAGGCTTGTTTTTTTATACTACATTTGTAGTGTAAGTCCGCCTATTACTTGGTTTTTGTTCCGATGCTTGTTTTCTGTGTCATATGTATTAGTGGGTTGGGGTTACCAGCAAGCTAGCGGATTCCCGCTCATTTCCCTTGACTTTAGTCTCTGCATACTTCGTTTCACCTTGCGATGGACCGCTGCGGACGCTGCGAGTCACCCTAAGTAATCCAGCACCTTAAGCGGGACTGCAGGGTCACGCGAAACTCAGAAAGCACTGGATTGGTTTGGATGGCTCTCGTGCTCTCTGTTGAGGTCCATCGTAAGGCGAAGTAGACTATCGTCACCGCTCTTAGTGTGACGAACTGACTAGACCTGCAGAAAGATCGTCCTGCGCCAGACGAGGCGCGACCGTTGCTGCGAGGGCAACTGAGAAGGAGAGCTGGGTGCTAGCTGCCACTGAGGTTTTGGCTTCCGCGCGTCCCGGCTGTCCGGTCTGCATTCGTGCTCCTTGTCCCGGCCCCTATTTGAGGCGGTGAGAAGTCAGTTGAACGGTGTTGTTGAGAAAACACGGGGAATGTCAATTCAAACGGTGCGGTATTACCCCGTTAATTGTATCTTGATGTGAAGAGCTTTGTCAACGCTGACTTCCCAACCCGTCGCCACAACGCGAACAACCAACACCGAGGTAGAAGAATGAATCGATTGGTACCGTCTGCTGCCTGAACCCGCCACTCGATCAGCGCGAAGAGGAACATCACAATTTGGACGAGAAGACAAGATAAATAGAGATCGAGTCATGGCATCGTAGAAGACATTTTTCTACATTAGTCGCGAAGGAAATAAACAAGCTGCACGCTGAAAGTTGTGCAACGAAACTATACATGGTGCAGTCGGCGCATATCATCGAACTTTATTCGCTATCTGAAGAGAAAACACGAGAAGGAGTATGCGAAGGGTGGAAAAGGGCAGACGAACCAGCCAAAAATTGGATTGAATATGATGAGAAATATCGAGATTCGTAAAGCAAGCGTGAACTTATGCGTTTTAAAACAGGTTTCGTGACATGGTCTGTATGGTCACTCGTGCTGCGCCGCAGAGGTTGCATTTTCTGAGAGGATGTGGTCTTGCCGCTGTGCATGGAGTCGCTTCCAGCAGTGTACTAGCCGTGTTGCTGTATTTGAAGAATCTTATACAGTAATATAGCTTATTCCTGCGCCACGCACGAACTGGATATGCTGATGGTCTTATCAAACAAACACGCTGGCCGCGTATGTCTTAAAAGTCAAATGCAAAAAAGTTAAAAAAAGAAAAGAAAATGAGTAGATTTAAGTTTTGCTGTTTGTTGCGAGCCACGTGGTCGCGAGACCGATGTCTTAAACAAGCATCGACATATCAAGGGGCTTTCTCAATGTTTGCAGTACATTGTAAATAAACACTTTCTGCCACCAGCGGTCCACTTAGTAAAAATCAGTGCTTTTTTTTTAGGAATTTAGCTTTTTTTTTATTTGCAATTGTCTCTGCATTTGATAATGTCAGCTTTATGCTGCTTATGCCGGCAACAAAATGTAGCTGTCGAGTGCCAATTTTTACGTTTAGGAATTAGAGGAATGGAATGGAACGATTCAGCCATTCCAGGAGTGGGAATGGGCTCAGTGTCTCCATTCCTAGAAACTGAAAAAAATTTAATTATCGAAAACTCTAATTCCCCGGAATGGAATTGGAATGGAATGGGGGTGCCCATTCCGCAACACTGCTACCCACTATTCTGTTTTTTTTATTTTTTTTTATTTAGTCAGTTAATCCGAGCTCGGCGTTTTGACATCATCTGAACCCTTGTGCAAGAAGCAGACAAACTTCCGCTCAGCATAGTTCACTTATTTCCGTCGGTGGCGTGGCAAGTAACCGAGACGGCGATAGGAAATAGGGCCAGCGACAACAAATAGTGTCGCCAAGACAAACCGGGTTTTGTTGTATGCCGCCCATGCGGAGTGCAAGTTTGTCTGCTTCTTGCCGCGGTTGCGATGATGTCAAACCGCCGGGTTCTTATTGGCTGATTGAAAGAAAATAGTGGGTAGACCTCAACGCGTCTAGCATTGAGGTCTACCCACTATCCTTCCAATCAGAGCCAATCAGAGATTGGCGTCGTTTTGACGTCGTCACCGCAACTCCTGCGCAAAAAGCAGCTGCCATAGTTTTTGACAGCCTAAGAACTTCTGGGCGTGCTGTGTTCTGAGAATGTCATTAGCGCTCGGCAGTGAATCAGATTGCGGCATGGGCAAAGTAAAACGCCAAAGAAGCCAATCACGAAGCGAGGTGCATTAACATAATGAGCCGCGTCTTGTGTTTTCCTAAGTTGGTGCGCCTAACCGGCTGAAGAAAAGGGACTAGTGGTGGTGGAAATGGCCGTCCTTTTGCGACCTTCAATCTCAAAGAGTGAAAAAAAAAAGAAAAATTAATGGCGCTAGTTTTTTCAATATGGTCCGCTTCTCGCTGCTATGCCTTGATTCGGTTGTCCCAACTTGATGGGCCAACGACTGTTTCGGTGATTATGCCGTCGCTGTTATTTCAACCGCATTCGAAGTAATCCATGGAGACGTGAAAGCCTGACTTAGCTGACTGCATTCAGCGTAATCTATGTAGACGTAAAAGCCTGACTCATTTTTAGCTGGCTTAAGCGCTTTGTTTTCTTCTTTTTTACGATGAGCAGAAGGAATATGTTTATTTTGGAGAAAACATTGAGCGCGCACTTGTGTGCTTTCCCATTTCGCATGCAAGTCTGTGGTGGATATGAAATTCCTAATCTTCAAACCGTTGCTGCATAAAAAAAAATAGTTATATATATATATATATATATTCATGATAGCAACGTCTTTCCACGAAGTAATACAAAGGCTCTTATATAAGAATATTGCTTTAGCTTGCCTGCCCCGTACTTATTTCCCCTAATCTGGGCAAGCGTAGTAAAAAAGAATGTTTCCGGCCATTCGTATTTATTATGTCTTTCAAAGTATACTAAAGCGCCACTCGCAGCAATATAAAACATTCAGACGGATCTTCCTATCGAGTAAAAACTGGGCCGCCGCTCAATTTGTGTTTTCTATCTGCAGATGGTTTTTTGTAGTAACACAGAACAAACGACAAATCATTGCTACTAAGTGTCCGGATAACTATGCTTAAAATATATATAAAAAAAGACACATCCGTGGAATTCTTTAATTGCCGAGTGAGAAGACATCACAGTCTGTGCAACCGTCAGATTCAAAAGGAAACGCTATTCATATGAGCTTTACCTGCTGTACCGAGTCGGTGCGTTCTAAAAAGCACAACTTAAAAAAAAAAAAAAAAGAACGAGTGATTGTTTTATAATTACTTAGAAGATTAAAAAGGCAGGGTTCCTCTTTCGAACGCTCGGCCTCCACTACCTCCTCGTTGCCTTTCACCATGCTTTGGTCTAGCGTGGTCAGCTCTTGGCTCACCAGACGCCGGAAGCGTCGTCGAAGGTACGAAGCTTTCGCTGGAAGCGGGAGCGCTGGAACCCCTCCCTGACGTTTTCAGCCTGTTAGCCACTGGCGAGAATTTACGTCACAAGGGCCACCATACTTACAATCAGAATTGACCCCCCCCCCCCCCCCCCCCCCCCTTTAATAGTGCACGCCACCTAGTGGCTGCTCCGCTAATTTTCCCAGTCCGCCATGTGGCGACCTCCATTGTTGCTCGATGGGGTCTCGAAACGCGTCTATCGGGAAAACACGAAAACAATAGATTCAGCTGGGCGATGGAGGAGACGTTCGGATTGTGACTTTTTGTGAGCGAACTCTGTGCTGGCGCCGGCGTGAGTGTGCCGCGGGCGCGATCATCTCGGCGACGAACGCGACGCAGGACAGGACGAGTCCTATGAGCAGGGACAGGAAGGCGCCTTGCAGGTTGTCCAACCGGAAGGCGAACGCTTCTTCGGGTTCTTCCTGGTAGCACTTGGTCGCATTGAAAATGAACGGCTCCATCGGCCTTTGATAGAGTGCCATCTCATACATCCTCCTGCATCTGATACCAACAGAAAAAAAAAGGCAGAGAGAGGGCACCATACATGGTTAGGAACGACTGTTGGACCTAAAATCCTAGTACTATACGGAAAGAACATCAGGGAGAGGAGGAGATTCAAGCCCACGGGGAAGTCGGAGCGCTGAGCTCTGATTGGAGGGGTAATGCATAGGCGCCAAGGCTATAGACTAAGAAGCCTGGAACATCTGCTTTCCCTGAAAGCACTTGCTCCTGTCGAGTTCCGAACATCATCTGACTTTCACTTCACAGCCAATAAGACTGCGATATCAACCAGTTAAAACGGCGAAAACGAATCGCATACACAAAGAAATGGTACGGCAAATTGCTGGGCAATTGTGGTGTATACGTGAAACTTTCAAAAGCACCACGTGACTTGAGGTCATGTGACTCCAATATCCCCGCTAAAGTTAGCGGAAAAACTAAATTGGTGTGTAAGTCCCGCGACGTTGATTTTCCCACTAAATTTAGCGGGGAAACAGAATCGGTATGTAGGTCTGCGATGTCCCATAATGGGACGCTGCGAGCTTTGCATTACGGGACGTCACAGGCATATAAATTAATTAGACTTCCCCGCTAAATTTATCGGGGAAACGGAATTGGTGTGTAGGCATGTGGCGTCCCATAGCGCAACACCGCGCGCGTTGCATTGCGGGGCGAGGCAGGCCACGGCTTTACAAAATCCGGAGAAACTAGGGAAAAAACATTTCACGTTAAAAAAAGAGAAGAAAAAGATCGGACAGGAATAATAATAATAATATTACTAATAATAAAAATAATGATAATAATCTTTATTGGCTCAGGAGAGCCGTGGCACCGCAGAAAGGCCACACGAAGGCCCGCGGTGCCACGTTTGTAGTTATGGTGATTATGAGATGATATGTACAAGGGGAGAAACACAAGCTACGCCTTGTGGTTCTCAAGCTGTCAGAGACTAAGGGGTGTGTAAGTTCTCGCGCTTCTTGCGCACCTTGTGGGCTTGTTTACCCTTCAAATAATAATAATAAAAACAATTATTATTCTTATTATGAGCCCACGAGCTTTTGTCTTCCCCCGAGCTCAATCAATGGCGGCGAATGAATCACCCATTGATTGGCTTGCCCCTCCTTGAGTTCCGACGCCCCAAGGGCGCATTTTCGGAACACTTGCTGGCCGTACAGAGCCGCTTCGACCTGCGGAACGTACAGGGCTTTGATGACAGTCTTCAGACGTGGATCCAGGGTCCTGCGTATGAGCATGCTCACTGGCTGGAGGTAGAGGCTCTGTCTGGCCATGCGGAAGCTGCAGTGGCCCCGCTGGGCGAAGCGCCTCGCCAGCGTGGCGTCGTGAAAGTAGCGGTCGAAAAGGACCACGTGACCTCCGCGCTCCACGCGGTCGAACACTTCATCTTGCTTAGCCCCGGGAAAGATGGCTCCTGCCACGGGCTCCACGAGACGCTGGAGCCTCAGGAACATTTCTGTTTTCGGCTTCTGCGTGGAAAAACGTACGAGACAGCGATTGATTTTATGGGCTGTCTACACTCAATGACGGCTGAGGGACAGAGGGTATTTATTAGCTCAAAAGACGGCCAGAAAGAAAGTGCGGAAAAAATGTTAACACGAGTTTATCACTGGCTCCCAAAGGATTATGTATCCTCGGCGGTTGGAATTAAGGTGTCGTCGGTGAGACCATGTACATCGTAAAGCTGCTTCTACCCGTCTTGATAGGCACTGTGGTGGCTGACAGTTTAAGAAACAGAGGCAGTTTAAGAAAAGCCCTGCATTTAAATTGTCGGTGACCATGGAAATTTATTCACCTGACGCGAATGATTTATTCGCTTCCTACTTGCCTATCGTACAGAGCGCGACACTGTTAGCGCGAACAAGCGATCGCCGGTTTTTTCAGTTTTTCTCTTTGAAACCAAGGGATGTCATCCAAGTTATTATTGCTACGGAAGGAGCTCATTTAGTATTATAATGTAAGCGATAAAATTTCGTGCTCGCTGATACTATTTAGAAGTAAAATGCGATAATGCGCGACGATGTCGTGTTCGCCCTAACAGTGTCGCGATGTGCACGTTAATTTCTTTCTGAATTCAAATAAACTATGAATACGAGGCCCGGCCGCCCGTGGTATACTGATATTGACAAAGAAAAATACAAAATACAGACAGAAAAACACCGAAAATGCTTGCGTGCAAATCCTTTTAAAAAAGAAGAAAAACGAAAGGTGTCACAGCCATTCAGCATCAGCGGGAATAAGTCGCATAAAATGAAATTCGCAAGTTTAGTTCTTTTGGTCTATCTGATCGGAAAGAGCGACACTAATAACGGCGAAACGTTCATGAACACACGCTGTGTTTCCGGGGGAATTTTAATTAGACTCCCTAAGCGATGTCTTAACGTATATATTAAAATCCACTGATCAGACGTTTTGAATTTACATAGAGACTGAAATTATAAAAATATTTTCCTAAATATAGGATGATGTTATTGGCAGTGGGCGGGATCGACGGAGGAAAAATTTCGAGATATTTTATTCTTTCAAACTCTTTACTAGTAAAATTTACCCCCCCCCCCCCCCCCCCCCAAGAAAAAACAACAACAAAAAACAACATATATTAGAATTTATTCAGTCACTATATTGTAATAATATGACACGCTGCACATACAAGAAAGGGTTTCAGTAAAAGTGGAAAGTCAAAACAATTATAAGGAGTTTTAGCAAATTATTTCGGAAGGCCCGATATCTCCGCCAGTGCTTCCTTGCTATAGAATAACAATGTTAGCTTCTACTACCGTTATCGTTCTTTGAAAACACAATTTGATGATATTGCCCGTTGAAAATCTCTACAAAATTCGCGCTTTCCTAGAAGTAAGTGTAATTGCGGAATGCAAATAGTTAGCTGGAATGCATTTTAGGCTCGAATAACCATCATATTTTAGAGTAAACTTAAATACCTGCATGTATCATGCAACCCAGGCCTCGGAAAACATAGTTACAACGAGTTTCATCTTACTTGGTTCCGAGTGTTTTTATTATAGAAAAGAGTTTTATTGTCTCTGTGAAAGCAAATCAAAGGACGAACTAAGAAAAATATTGATTAATTCCCGTGGACGCTCCTGCACGAAGATAAGTGTCAATAGTAGGTATTCATGACCGTGTTTAGGTGTCAATTATTATTTTTTTTATTTTTTTTTTAGTTTCGGCATTTCTTGCGGTTTTTCGAGCATTACGTTTTAAGTAAAAACAAAACCAATATTATGTTCATTTTGCTTGTAAAATAACGAAGTGTATATAACCTGTAATATAACGAAGTATTTTTTTCTACTGGTTATCTTACCATTAAGAACCACTCAAATCCGGTCTTTCTTTCCACCAAAATCTTCAGCTTTGGAAATCTAAGAACATCGTGAAGCTGGTCCACGTGGTCTTCGGTGCTCTTCACCAGCATGGTGCTGACAAGGCGGCTGCTCAGCAGGGCGATAAGAAAGAACAGAAACAAGCTCCAGCTTCCCAGAAGAATTCTTCGATGAATGTTCGACTGCTTGGTTGGTGATACTGCGCAGAGTGGGATGAAGCAAAGGCCGATAAGAAAAGCAGTATGGGAGCAGTTTTTTCAACTGAAAATGCATTACAATGATGAAAGACCTGTACAGTCACCCACCGCTTCAGAAGCACAATGCGTGGCGTTACTCGAGCATCTGATTATAGCCCCGTAGCCAATGAGATTTCGACCTTAACCGTTAAGAATGTTTTTTTAGAGCGCAGCTCTTAAGCGCCCGTTTCCGGCTTGAGCGGCGTCGCCGTCGCCGTCGCCGTTGGCGTCGCCGTCGCCGTCGGCGTAACCGCGCGGTGCATTATGCATGGGTAAATTTCCCCGCTAAATCTAGCGGAAAAAATTTCCCCGCTAAATCTAGCGGAAAAAATTTCCCCGCTAAATCTAGCGGAAAAAATTTCCCCGCTAAATCTAGCGGAAAAAATTTCCCCGCTAAATCTAGCGGAAAAAATTTCCCCGCTAAATCTAGCGGAAAAATTTCCCCGCTAAATCTAGCGGAAAAATTTCCCCGCTAAATCTAGCGGAAAAATGTCCCCGTTAAATCTAGCGGAAAGAATTTCCCCGCTAAATCTAGCGGAAAACTTTCCCCGCTAAATCTAACGGAAAAAATTTCCCCGATAAATCTAGCGGAAAACCCCGCTAAATCTAGCGGAAAAAATTTCCCCGCTAAATCTAGCGGAAAACTTTCCCCGCTAAATCTAGCGGAAAAATTTCCCCGCTAAATGTCGGAAAAAATTTCCCCGCTAAATCTAGCGGAAAAATGTCCCCGCTAAATCTAGCGGAAAAAATTTCCCCGCTAAATCTAGCGGAAAACTTTCCCCGCTAAATCTAGCGGAAAAAATTTCCCCGCTAAATCTAGCGGAAAAATTTTGGTCACGTGACCCGGGGGTCACGTGACCTGGGGAGTCACGTGACACCCCGAGGTCACGTGACCCCCTCCCGAGGTCACGTGACCTCTGAGGGGGCACGTGTTTCCCCCACGTGACCCCACCAAGGTCACGTGACCCCCCACTGAGGACACGTGGCCCTCAGTACCCTCCCCTCCTCCTCAAGAGCTGCGCTCCAATTCGGCGTTACAGGGAGTGGTAAACGACTTTGACTTTTTTTTCTTCTCTCCTTTGCAGTGGAACCATGCCAGGCCTTCATTTTAATTTTATACCTGCGATCGCCGAGCTTACGGCGATAGACAGGGATAGACAGGCGCCGATCTCTCGAGATTGATTGATAGACTATAGCGTACTATTAGTCAAATTTATTTCTAGTTTGTACAATCTCGGATATAATGAAAAAAAGTAAGACTGTTCTATACGCTTAACAATATCAGCTTAGAATTCGGAACAAACGAATTGCAGAATTTTCGAATGTTTAGCAGTAGTGAGCTTAGTGTTGCTCACACGAGCGAACGCAAGCATTCTGCGTCTGCGTCAGCGTTACTTGCTCCACACTACGCGTGCGTGGAGCCCAAACTTCTGTCTCGGATTTGCGCATGGTAAAGTTGAAGCTAAAGTTGAAGCCTGGGCGAGTTGGTATGACATACTTAAAAGGTTAAAACAGCGCAAAAAAACGACCGACAGGGTAAAGAAGGACACGGACGGCGCATGGCGACGACGTGCAATGCGAAGCGTGGAGCACGCAAGGCTAACGGAAACGCACACCTCTTGCGTTTTCTTTTATGCACAACACTAAAGCTATCTTGCATATAAAGAAAAGACAAATAGGATAAAGGGTTACTCTAACGTATGCAAATTATTCACGCCTCCTAAGCGTCGTACCTGATGTGAAGAAATACGTGCAACACAGCCAGAGACTGTTTCCAAATCTCCGTCCCAGCCTCGCGGTGTCACCTTTGGCAAGGCATAGGTCAAGCGTCAGGAGTAGAGTCATTATAATCATGCTGATGAGTAGTCCACTCCACACCTGTTAGAAAAAGACTCGGTCTATAACCTAACCTAACCTAATCTAACCTAACCTAACCTAACCTGACCTAACCTACCGGCAAAGTGATCACCGCCTTTTTCTCGACTTCTTAACGTAAAAAGTGTTTAAGGACTGGCATCCCCAAAAAAGTGCGAAGAGAAAACCGTCATGCTCTTGTAAACTTTAGGTATCTTAGACCGCGCTAAATTTAGCGTATAAGGTGACGTCGTCAGCGTTACGGCCTTTATATGCGTCTTCGCGAAGTGGCAACGGGATGTTCCGGTATCCCGTGATACTGCGTCACGTAAGGTAGCGTCGCGTGACAGCATTGCGTAGCGTGGCCTCAGGTCATGTCGCGTAACGTGGGCACCTGGATATCACGTAACATCACGACTAGACACCGCGACGTCAAGTGACATGGTCATGTACTTGCTACGACATCGTGACTGTGTCACACTAACCCCGCACAGTTAAAAACACTCTGAAAGTTCTCCGACTCCTGGCTTCATCAGTATACGATCAAGATGTACTATATTTGTCTTACATAGGAAATATTCTAATTAAAACTCTTGGTGTAATAGAAAGTGCCAGGCTGGGACATTGTCAACCAAGACACTGAAAGTTGGGGATATGCAGCAGTAGCCTGTATTGGAGTAAAATGCGGAAACGAACCAATGCGTCTTCTTCGTGCTATGTGATTAAGGTAGATGGTTCAAGTATTTTAATATTATTTCGTGGTTTTATTTTGGTCATTTAAGACGACTTTAGACAATTCCAATGTTCGTTGCTGTACACGTCGAGATATATATATATATTTTTTTTTCTACTAACGATGTTAAACAAAGTTTAGAAAAGAAGAAAATCGATTTTCATAAAACCAACAAATGTATAAAACTCATGACCAGCCATAGCAATAGTATATATAATTAAATAAATAGTTATACCTTTGTTATTTTCGCCCGCAATCTTGTCTAAAATTAAGCCTACACTAATCTTATGTTAAATCTAGTGGCGGGAAGTAGGATGGCAGATGGCGTGTTAGTAACTTTTGCATCCCACCAAACGTAAAGTTTACATACATTTTCCCAATATGTCAGGTAAACAATTATGTCACTTAAAAACATACAACGTTTAAAAACACGAATAACACGAGTTCTTCATACTGCCGTCAAAAGAAGCGAATTTACACAGGTGGCGTACTATCTGCCAATTCGAGACAACAGATATTCACCTTTGTACTGAAAGTGCTCGCAAGTCCAAACGGGTCAATGTACTTCCCGGGTTTGGCAGTCATCAGATGCATCTCGGTGAACATGTAGGACGGCGATATCTCACCCATTTCCATTCGTTCCTGCGTCGCCATGACGGGACCGACGAAAACATCGCTTTCCTGAAACAGGTCGGCAGATCTGGCAAAAGTTTACACGGCCCGAGATTCCAACATTGAGAATTGCCAAGCATATTCCAGGTTCAATATAATTTCAAATGCGACTAGACATTCATTTCAAATGTTACTGCACACACCAAACCGCGTTTGTCCCACACCGGATCTGCGCAATGAGCGCGCGCAGAAACCAGATTCGCCTGAGGGGACCATCTGCGCATGCGCAATGCCGACATCAGCGCCACCGCAGTGGTGTGACGCAGGAGAGTTGAATTGGCCAATAGACGCGGTCGCATATTTGTAAGGGTGCATTTTAACGACAGGAACAAGATTTAGCTCGAGCGCGTTTTCGTCACGACGTAATTTTCTGAATATTATTGCGTAGCGCGTCACCTGGAAATTTGAGCGACCTCTATGCTTGGAAAGTGAATTAGCGTAATCATTAATCGGTATTCCTCAAGCACTGCGTTTTCACTTTGTCAGAACATTCAGCTTAGGGTTGCTTGCCCCTCCCTGATCACATCGGTAGTAGCAGAACACACGCTGGTACGGAGGAAGAGGATCCAGAGAGGCTTCAATTGCTTAATATTTATAAGGCTTTTTTTTTTTTTGTTTGACGCGCGTTATATAAACAACAAATGAGAAAGGATTCCGAAATAACGAAATCGATAGTAAAAGGGGGAAACTAGCACCATACGTTTTTACGGGGAAAGAGAAAATCCTTTTTTGGGAATTTTTATAAGAAAAGGTAAGCGTTGTATTACGAAGAATAAACGTCTGAGCCTTGAACAATTCTTGTTTGGGATCAAGCAACAACCCGTGTTGGTAAATATTGGCATTATGCGCGTGTGTTCACTTACGATGTCGATAAATATGCTTTGTTACCCGGGCTTGACAGATTTTGCAACATGCTTTTAAGAAGAGCAGTGGTTTTTTCTTGAACCGTGAACGAAAGGATGCCTCAAAAATTGCCCCTAACCGCTGATGTTTACTGTTTCCAAAAGCCACTCTTCTCAAGAACGCAAACATGACGCGATAGGATTATCGGGCCCCTTTCGTAGCGCATTCACATTCACGTCTCATGCTCTTCCTACGTGTGGGCGGGAAGTGCAGCGGACATGTCCTTGTCAGTAACGTGTCTGGCTCGCAACAGAAGGGTCATGGGTTTGAAGATCTAAAATTTTTCAAATTTCTTTTTAAGGCAAATGAATTACTTTATAAAGTAAAATCATTCGAGATATTCGGCGAACTTTCCTTCGCATTACATGTCATGCTTTTAAATCACTTTCATTCCATGCGTGACGTTACGCTTCACATTAGCGTTGGAGGTTGTTTGAAATTCCCGCGTGAGGTCATGTGGCTTTGATGTCATGACCATATATCGACCGGTAAGGATTTTGCCGTCACTAAGCCACCGACGCCGACGTCGGCTTTTCTGCGACATGAGCCCCTTAACGCTATCGCGTTAAAAAGTGATCGTACTATTACCATTATGTCTTGACTAAGCAAGTCTGAAGCTACAGTAGAACACGATGAAATGCTACGAAGTCTGTTAATCTAAAGCGCTGTCGCGGACAGCTTAAACGCAGTGCGTCCTTCGTTGTGATTCGATCTTTGGCGTTCTTGTCACGTAAAGCTGCGTCTTTTACTGTTTGCGCAGCGATAGTTATATGCCAGGGACTCCCTACGTCTTCCGTTTTTTGAGTTGCTAGAGAATACAAGAGACAAGGTCCTACGCACCTCACGAAAAATCAGTCCAACGAATCCAGTGGAGGTTCCGTTGCTTTTAAATCCCCATGTTGTTTCTCGACGGTTCACAACCAGTAACCTGAACGTGGAAAATATGGTGTTCTTTAGCAACGAAACGCACATCATTACACTGATGTACCATATGGATGTGGGTGTCACTGCCTCACTGATTTAATTTACACCGTTTTGAGAGGTATTCACTGTGATTAATCGCTTTTGTTGCATTAAGTTCATCTTGGAATTCTATAGATATACTTTATTATTACACTCCTATGTAACGGCTTAGGGCCAATATTTATGTTTATCATCAAATAAATAAATAGAAGATTCGTTTAAAGAAGAGGCAAATTGCACACCTCTCTATATAGGGGCGGATACAGCGGATCTTGCGCTGTAAAGAAAGCAGGTGAAATCGGCGCAAGCACATAGAAAGCTCAAACATTCTCCGAATGTACCTCAATAAGTTTGATATTGTGGAATTTGAAGACGGAGTTTTCTTCCTATATTTAATAAGATCAAAATCTTGCCTAAACCGACGCTGTCGAGTTCGCATACGCCCAAATTAGTGATGGGCGTGACTTGTAGCGCCATCTCCCGAAAAGACGCAACGAGCAGAGGAGGCACTCTGTAGTGTGCTCGCTGCGCTAATCGGTAGAGGGCACCACGAGGAAATTTCGTCGCTAACTCTGTCGTCTGTAAACGCGTTCGCTATTGACTTTGGCAAGTTTGTAATTCTTAATTTTTAGAAATAGAACTGTCCCTTGAATTTTCAAAACGCAGACCTGTCCACCTCAATGCAGATTAAGCGAAACTTCGAGATTTTATGATCAGTCCACGATTTTTCCGGCTCGTTTTCCAGCATAAGCTCCACTTTAGCCACCCTTTACACTACATAGCTTCGAAAGGGAATATGTACAACTTTTGTTTTGATTTTGTACAATTTGCTATGCCTGGTTACTTAAACCTGGGTGTGTGTCACTACTTTTACTTTATTTCTGTGAAGGTAAAAGTGAATTGTCGGTTCGTCCTCTCCTGATGTTAGTTAAAATGATCGTCTGCACTCAGCATATGATATAGAACTTTGAGTTTCGACTCATATAAAGGCTTAAGGTAAAGGACATACGAAATTTGAGTTATTTTTCGATAAAAACTGACATCGTTCAACAATGAACAGTAGTTCTTACAGTTCTCTGCATTTGTCACGTGTCGAGTTAAGCGGGATTGTTACCTTCGCTTTGTCGCTCTGGCGATGAGCTCAAGAAGAGTGGCGATCGGTCCACTGAGCCGAAATCCTCCAGGTACATGTTCTCGAAATATAAATGGCGTCACCTTGTCATTAAAGAAGAAGAAGAAAAAAACGTACAAAACCCCCGAAGAATAGCGAGAAACACGAATTAGAGATCAGCGTGTCACATCCATAAACCAGCAGTGGGTGCCAAGCAAACACTTACTACAAAGAGAAAAAAAAAACATCGTCATTGTTGATATGGCAGCTGAAGAATTTAATCAGAAACACGAAGGGAAGAAGGATACGACGGTTTCACATTAACAAAGAATGAAAGAACTAGCTCAACTAAGACCGGTAATGTTGATATCAATTTGAGTCTCAATCAGTTTGATCAGATAAGCTGTTTTAATGACACTAAGTTTCTCAGAAGAAAAGCACAGAAGTGTATTTTCTTCAACAAACGTAGTACCATAATAATATTGGTTATATATGTAGTTTTGTGTGACGTGAAGGCAACAATGTTTAACGTAAACTTTCGTATAATAAGAGGAAACACACTAAAGTATTTTCATGTGTCCGAAGGTGTTTTTTTTAATGTATTTATTAATATTTGCTCTCACATTTCTTTCAGAAGCAAAGGGAATACTTGCCATATTAAACTCTTATAGCTAATAAATGTCTCTATACCTCAAAATGCAAGAAACAATTTATGGCACAATTATTGCAAACGGAGAAAGGCCAAGGTTTTGTATAGCTAAGGCAAACACGTACATCTCGTAAAATAACATGTCACGAGAAAATCTGTGGATTTTCGAATTATATATTTTTCTGTATTGCATTTCACTTTGTTATTCAACAAGCTTGAGTATTTAAGAATAGCTTAAAAACAATCCTGGCAGTCTTATTTAAAAAAAAAAAAACACTTTCGCCGAAGTCAATATATATATATATCTTTTTTTTTTCTCTCAGAGTACCTTGTGTAAGTTTATTAAACGTAGGATACTGACCTATTTGGGAAACCGTAATATTAGAGTCTGAACGCTGACTGATATGCAGTAAGTTTGGTTTCATATATTAGTTTCTATACACGTCGACATCACACATAGGACAATAAATGGTGTGTTCTACGTCATAGAGTATTGTTGCTCATTTCACTAAACTTAAACTACTTATTACCCTTATCCACAGCTGAATTACCATGGGTAGGGCTAATGACGATGGCTTTCGTCGTGTCTCGGTTGTTTCTTGATTTCTCCAATCAAGAGATGCAGCGATAAAACAGACCCGCCAATTATAATTACATCACCGTCGTGGACACCCCACTATAGTCAAACCATCACATCATAATAAGAAAGACATTCCTTTTGTCCCCCCCCTATACCTCAGAATCGCCTGGGACGTTTATCAGGGAGAGCTGTTTTAGCAGCACCCTTTCACAATTTTGCCAGCATAAGGAGCTGTAGATTAGTATGCGGAGCGTAAGCTCGTCTGCTTCATGCGCACTCTCCTTGGTTTTGACTGGAAACCAACCGAACTCTGGTTGGTTTTGACTGGAAGGATAGCGGGTAGGTGTAAAGGCAGCTAGCATTGAGGTCTACCTACTATCCTTCAATCAGAGCCCATGAGAGCGCGGCGTTCTCATGTCACAGCAACCCCTGAGCAAGAAGCAGACGAATTTGCGCTCCGTATTAGCGCCGAGATGTTTTGGCGGCGCCCTCTTACGGTTTTCTTTCGTGACGTCACGAACAGGATATGCCTAGCCAGGCACGCAGCCAGGGGGGATGGCATGGGGCCCGCCCCCCCCCCCCCCCCCCCCGAAATCTTCCATCTCGCTTGGACCTGCTCTCCTCCTCTCCCTCCCCCCCCCCCTCCCCTTATGCAGCATTTTTTCATGGGCGGGCGGCCCCACCCCCCTCCCGAAACAAAATCCTGGCTACGTGCCTGTGTGCCTGGCCGCGATTGGCAGGATTAGCCTCCCCGTGATTCCCAGGATTTGCCTCGCCGTGAACGGGCGATAGGCAGGGTGTTTTCGGATAAATCCGAAAAGCTCCGAAAAACACCCGCCGGTAAAATTTTGGTCAATTCGGATTTATCCGATAAACTCCGAATATTTGTCTCAATGCCACACTCCCCCCCTCTCTCCCCTCAATAAAAAAAAAAAAGTCTTTTTTTTTTTTTTTTTTTTTTTTTTAGGGTTTGATCAGCACAGGGCCAATGGACCTGGGAAAATTCCACCATAATTATCTTTTAAATCTCGGACCGTTGTCAAAAGGGGTCTTGCCGCTTGTCTCTTCAAGGTTGATTCAGGGCAACAGGTCATTCTACGTTCAGGTCACGACAAAAGCCACTCTTTTGGTTTCGGGTTTGGGCCATGCGATTTGTGATTCAGAGAAAGGAAAGGGTATGTATTAGTAACAGTGAAAGCTATTGACCATAGGGATTGTATAAAATTGGGAAGAGGGGCAGTTCAAACTCTCTATTACCTCATTAACCACTCCACCTCACGCGGCCGCGGGCTTGATTGATGAAATAGGATGGGATGACTACGAGCTTCCTAGCGACTACCTCCGGGAGTTTATTGATTTTAAGGTATCGGCGTTTATGGAAGTGCCACTTGTGTGTGACATTTGTCGTGGATAAACAGCGCTACGTCCGTGGCACTTCTTTGTCTGGTCCTCGTCTTTTCGCGCTGTTTTTAAATCCGATGGATAAATTAGTACTGCCAATGGCAATGGCACCAACGTCAAATTCAACTGAAAATATTTCAATTGATACAAGCGCGTGTTTTTTTTTTTTTTTTTATCTGGCATACGTTTACATTTAGTTATTATTTATTTATTTATTTTTAATAGGAAACACAGCGAAATTAAACTCCGAATTTTGGAGATTTGGAAATAAAAAAATATAAACTCCGATAAACTCCAAATCTTCGGCAAAAATAAACTCCAAAAAACACCCTGCGAATTTGACGAGAAATAAACTCCGAAAGCACGGAGCCCTAGCGATAGGGCATTCATTGTCATGATACAGGAAGCTAAGGCATGGCTAATCACGAGCTTCAACCACAGCAACGCTTTCAGTCGCACATGTCGCTAATAGCCCCTGAGGGCTCAAGAAACTCCGTGCGTGACTTCTTATCGTAACGCTTTGCGCTCCATGATTCCTTCTCTAGAGCGACAATAAGGTGCTTGAGACCTTACACGCATCCTCTTTTTAAGGTTTCAGCAAGTGTAGTTCTTCGCCTAAAACAATTTATTTTTGCTTAAAAGGCCACTAAAAGTTTTTTTTTTTTAAGTCAAAGTTGGAACACGCGCGTAAAAAAAGATTTTCGCGAGAAAAAATTAGAGAAATATTGGCGGCGAGAGATTTATTTGAAATACTGCGCGGCGAAGTCCATGACGTCACTGGTCATTCCGCAATTGTGAAGCCGCTCCACTTCTCCTCCACGCGCCCGAAATGCCGAGAGAGAAAACAAGTGGAAAGGAAGAGGCTGCCGACTAAATCGCGCCTCGGGCCGTCAAAATCGCTCTAAATCATTTTTCTTTTTGCGTAAAATTTATATTTTGATACGCGTGACCCGAGGAAACTGTTATTTTCTTTTTCTTTTCAGGGGCCTTTTAAGAAACTGAAACAATCATATTTTGACGCATTAGACTGTAGCCTCGTTTCTTCAAAAGGGAATACTGAGCTCAGACCGTAAAGTACCGTGAATTATAAAGTACTACCAAATCAGCGACAAAAAAAAGAAAAACGTAGACACTAAAACAAATGCAGTCTGTCTATTTTTTTACAAAGTTGCAATCAACCTTGGTGGAATTATGAGAGTAAATATACTTAAAATAATAAAAAAAAAACAGCATGTGACGTGAAACTGAGCAGGATGACGTAAGCGCGTGAAACGTCATGCTCCGTTTTGCAGCGCGGGCTGCCATTTTTGGTCTAAATCATATTTCCAGTCTCATCCAAGGCTCTCCCAAATGATGTACGGGAAAACAGATTCACCGAACTGTTATTAAAGTGCATTAAAATGTCTCGAGTACTATAGCCCGCAAGTATACATTGTGCAGGTCAATACATTTAACCATTATTAAAGAGCGGGAATGCTTTAACCTACGTGAGGTACCGTCACCCGCAGAAGGTCCAAAGATGCGTTCACCGCGTCCAGGGTGCTCTCGGCGTACATCGCTCACGCAATATACGAACCGTGTTCACGCGGACCATGCACACAGGTGATATATAGCCTTCCCGAACAAATTAGCCTGAAAAAGCAACCTGAAATGACCACCCCCCCCCCCCCCTCTCCGCCTCCTCCTTTAGGGAAAAAAAAAGCAGGCAAATAACGCTGAACGCCACGTGACCGCGTTTAGCAGTTGGCTTGCCGTAAGCGCTTAATGACTCGCTCTGACAAATGATGGTGCTTATTTGCATAACGAGACATCGGTGCAAACTACGTTCGAGCGTGCGACGCCTCGTGTTCCCTCTGATGCTTTGGCAGAGTCATTAGGGAGGCAGCGACGGACCGATGAAATGCAGCCGCGAATCAATCCCGCATGATAAGAGACATTCGCTGCCGTAAAATTAGCGGGGAAACACTGAACCAGTCTTGTTTGAGTTGTGAGTTTCGAAGGTAGAGAAGAGAAAAAAAAGAAACACAAGATTGGTATCAGTAGTGCTCTCTTTACACCGTTACGAAAAAATAATTGTTTGCGTGTGTCCCAACTGGAAGATTATTTTGTTTTCAGTAGGTTCAGTGCTGTGGATGGAAATGAACGGTTTGTTTGTTGTAGAGTAATGCATTTTGTACGACATGGGTCGAATCCGCGTATTCAAACCACGGAAAAAATACAGCGTTATACTCCGCGACAACTTTTCTTGGCAATGCAGTGGAAGGTACAGGCCCGCGTCCCCTCTCCCATTTTGAGTGTGCTCGGGCTCTCCTCCTCTCCCCGGAAATGGGGGAGGAGGATAGCCTGCGTTCACTCAAAATGGGAGAGGGCACGCGGGCCTGTACCTTCCACTGCATTGCCAAGAAAAGTTGTCGTGGAGTATTGTACACATTCTCGTTAAATGACCAGTTCGCTTGCCCCGTTTCATTATGCTGAAGGTTAAAGTTTTTGTGTCCTTTTAAGAAAGTTTAGTGGGTTAATTATGCAATGTAAGAACTGAATGTTGCGGCAGCTTTTTGCAGCACTGGCAAGTGAAAGAACGGCGCGCATTAAACCAAAACATAAAGTAGTGTAAAACAATTCAGCAATAACAATAATGTTAAAAAAAACTGTTAACAAGCTGTTCTCACGAAAATACATTCTATACTCCTAATCCTTGAACAAAACACGAACTATCTGTCTTTCCTCTGTTTATACAGAAAATGAATAAATCTTGGGATCAAAAACACGTGTGAAACAGTTTTGAGGTTTCACTAACTGACCCAACTTGCGTTTCAGTTACCTGGAATTGAGCTTTAATTGAAAGCCCACCAAACTACTTTATAAAAACTGAAATCCAAAAATGGAAGAAATGTGAGCGTATGTTTTATGAGTACCTTGATTCGAAACGATGTAATGGGTTGGTGTCGGTGAAAACATCTTTATTGTAAAAAAAGAGAATAGAGACCCCCGGGTTTGTGACTGTGCCGTCTGGCCAGACAATTGATTGATTATACTGAACACCCCGACGAAATATTTTTGCGGGCGGTTTGGTGTGTATATTTATAAGTATGCTATGCAAAAATCAAAATCCATTCTGTCTTTTTTGAAGATGCCTATGGTATTTTGTTTCATATGTGAGCTGTTACATGACTGCGACGATTGAGAAGGACTAACAAATTCATTACATTATTTATAAGCGGCTATGCCCATACGTACGAGGTAATCAATAGTTATGTGACAAGATAAAATGTCGTTTTCATCTTTATACACCACTCGTCAAAGGTATAATTTGCAAAGGGTAAACTTATTTAAAGAAGTGTTTTTCCCCAGTGCACCAGACCTGAATGCTAAGGTTTTTAGGCATCACTGTACCAATCGATTAAATAAATTTAACAGAATATGGCGGACCTGAATCTATAAAGCCTCGTTTCAACCAGCAAGAAGCAGTTTGTCATGCTGGATTTAAGACATTCACAATTTATTCCTCCATAAGCGTAAAACATATTACAATTGAATAAAAGATTGAGTAACTAAAATGTAATAAACATAGGAAATTACTGAACAATAATGTTCAATCCATTAAATGAAAGCGGTATTCGATAAGTAAGTTGCATGTAACCATATCTAGGATTTCTTTCAACTTCGTCGATCCACCAAACAAGAATAAAAAATGATGGTTTGGGGCATCTCTCAACCTCGTGGTTATTTATGTTGAGGCCTTGATGGCATCAATCAATTGAGCGTGTTTGTGAGGACAAACCTTCCGCTTTTGCATAATATAGCTGTCTATATCTCGAATCCTTGTCAGGATCCTACAAGAAAACCATACGTTTTACCGAGGTACTCCAACACCTCTTAACATCTGAAGCAGTTAAATATTTTATTAAACGAGATGTCGGCCAGATTTATTCATCATCTTCCGCCCCTGCTCGCAGCTGAGAGGCTGGAAGATTCTAAGGTCGGTGTTGCTCATCAACGTTGCTCATCAGTGTTGCTCATCAATGTTGATCATCAGTGTTGCTCAGGATCCCTCTCCTGCGAAAGTGATTTCAGCACCATGAAATAATATATTGCATTTGGGGCCTCTCCTTATTCAATACTCGTGAAGTACCTACAAGAAAACAAAAAGTAAATTCAGTAATAAATAAGTTCAGACAATCTGCAAATTATATTTGTAGCTGTCCTTTAAATAAGCAATTTCAATCACTACAATACCTGCTCATGTTTTGGCCTGGACTTTCCACTGCCTGCATTAGCCTGCTCTAGCGAGACCATCTAAAAGTAAAGAACGTAAAAGAATAAAAAAAATTACTCTGGTCGGTAGCTGATCATTCGAATCAAATAGGACATTCCTAACACCTAACATAGCAAAGAAAAAAAAAAGTAACCGGAAAAACACGCGAAATACAAAGCACACGTTCGAAAACCGGACACCAGTTTTGAGGTCATCAAGTTCAAAAACCAAATGTTGTAGAGTTTTATCCGTAAATGAAATAACGAAGACAAACATGGACCACGTTCTGAATTAAGAGTAGCAAAATTTTAAACACACAAACACAGGTATGCACGCACGCACGAACGCCCACGAACGCGCAAGCACATGTACACACACACACAGACGTGCGAGCGCGAGCGTTAATATATCCAGCAACACGTTTGCAAAAAAAGGTTTGTTTATCTATTTACACTCGTATTCCACGCTCCTGCTCTATTCAGAAGATGGGTAACTGAGGACAAGTGTGCATACTATTTCTACTCGTTGAATGGTCTCATTGTGATCCTAAATTAACCATCGATAATGATACCGGCAAAAACTTCACTCGGCGACATAGCATTTGTAATTAAATAAGAGCCCGAGGTTTATTGGGCTCACACATTTAGGCGTATGTTGAAATTAAAACTTGCCCCAAATTTTAGGTAGAAAGGAATTAGCAAATCACCTAAAACCTTTATCTCGTTACAGGAGGGAGGTCTACTCCGCCGCCATTGCTACTACCAAGTGGCATTACATGGAGGTCCTTCAGTTAATCAGTTAATGCGTTCATGCTGTTTTTTGAAACAGTTATTTTGGTGTTTATCACTGTTTACTCACTCTCTGCCTCGCTGAGCTTTCTTGTACGCAAAGAAGCCGGCTACTCCGAGGGCAATCAGAGCCAAAGGAATCAGCACCATCATAAGAATCTTCGAAGTCGACATTCCAGCTTGCTGTTAAAAAAGAAAAAAAGGATAAATGCAAACAATCAAATTTAAAGTATAACGCAACAAAAGATTCTAACTTTTTTTTTTGCCCGCGAGATTGACGATTAACTTGATAAATTATTATAAAAGAGGGGATGGGGTAATCTCACGAAGGAAAGCGGCGTAAGACAATTTAATCATGACTCGGGATGAACCACCTGTTTCATTATCAGTTGTGTCCGGGCCAGGCTATACACCAACTCCACTCTCTGAGGTCACCCCGCTGCGGTGGCGCTGCCGTCGGTACTGCGCATGCGTAAACGCTTCCTGCCACGCGAATCTCGTATCTATGCTCGCGCAGTGCTCGCACCTGATGTGGCTGCAGAAGGCTTTATTGGGATACTAGTCTGGCGAAAGTGGGCATGCCCTAGCGAGTTCCGAGTATCACACTATGGTGGCTGGAAGGGGAAGTGTGCCAGATGCCGTATGCGCGCAACGATAAGGGAGGGCGCGATACGCGATGAAAATTTTGAGAGAGCCTGGATTGTAGAGAGGGACCATCTGAAACCGAGGGGAGCGTTTGCAGTTTAATCGCTGCCCACTTTATCATTGCGCGCGCACGGCACCCGTCCCATTTCCCCATTCTGGCCACCATAATAAGACAGTATAAAGACGCCACTAGCAAGACGGCGGCGCCCAGATACCGTAGTTTGAACGTGTGTAGCGCGCCATATTGCTTCGCTTTGAATGAAACGAAAACTGAGCATATATCTGTTGTGTGGGGTTTGATTTGACTGTGCTTCTGGTTACGTTCACAAAGTAGGTCAATTACTCGGACGTTAGTGCTTGTATCCATAAAACAAAAAGTAATCAGGAGGAGAAAGTTGGATCTTAAGTTTTCGAGTGTGTAATTATGGAAGTAATGGTGTTAGGGGTATATAGCTATTTTCAATAAGAAGCCTTTGCCCTCATAACAAATATACACGGCTAGTGGCAATAGCATAGTTTATATAAAGAATTAGGCCGTAAACCATGGTTTTCCTGATATGTATATATATATATTTTTCCATTTTACCTTAATGGCGGCCCTCTATGTCATTTGTTTATTTTGTTAAATACGTGCATTTTTTTTTCTTACCTCTACAATTGGAAATTGTACTCTTTGCATAAGACAAAACAGTAAATCATCTGTCCAGTCCAGCCTTATTGAAAAATAGATAATCAAGAATATACGTGAATTCCTTAATTAAATGCAAATGTACACGCAAAAAATAGCGTCCATACTGGAAAACAATATTCTAAATTTGTGCCCCACACGCGCATGCGATATATTTCATTTTTATTCAGAATAAAATAATGCTACGAACTAGGAGTGCGAGGAACTGGAGCCATCAATTCGTAGGGCGACTAAATTGAAATAAATAAAATTAAAAAAAAAAAATCTTTTTTCAGTGAACACGTTCGACGCTCAAGTTGCACGAGCTGCGCGCCATCTTAGGTGGACGTTTTTCATAATTTTTTTTGTTTCTTTGTTTTAGTTCAAATATTTTGGAAGGAAAAACTTTTATTAAATGAAAAGGATTCGTGGCTTCAATTTGTTTATTCTCGAATACATTTTCCCCACGGTGGAGACTAATCCTAAATTATTTTCATATAATCTTTTCGTTTCTTTTTTTTAAGATCAAGTTTGATTTTAAGCATATTTCTCTGGTATCTTCTTGCTAAGTGTTCCTAGGATAGCTTGCTTCATCGCACTGAAACAAGCACGGGCACGGGGCATTGCTTATTACATATGTTTTCGTTGTCTTTTTCGCGGTTCATTTTAAGGCGTTATTATCAGCTCATGTAGCAAGTAGATTGGTCATGCAGCTATAATGAACTCGGCCGCAGTCACTACTCCCCGAGTTTTTTTATACTGGCAGTGGACAACGAACTTAGTTGATGATTTTGCGTTTTTTCAAAGACTTTCGTATGTTTCATTTTTGTCGCTACAAGTTTCAGTTGCCGAGGAAATCGGAAGATTTTTTTTTATGTAGATGTTGTATTTTGCGTAATACAATAAAATGCTTTAGACGGGGCTTACCTTTGAACTAATTTCATCTTTGTGTGGAGCGCGCGATACATCCGTGCTGTTGGACTTGGACGTTTCGGTTGTGATGCTGACTCCCACGTGGCTGGTCGTCTCTGTGAGTGAAATGAAAAGGACGTGGGAACTTCAGACTTGCCGAATCTTCAATCTCTTCAGTTCCACACGGAACAACTCCATCGCGCCATAGATATGATGGCTTGACAATTTGCTACGAGTGTTGCTACTAACAACGAGTGTTTAGGTTTGACGGCTAAGCCCTGCTCACGCGAAAATAAAGCTTAATTGAAAACGCATAACTGGCATTTGAGATTAGTGACAAAAACTCCCTCGTTTCTCGTTGCTTAGCCTTCGAGAGAAGACACATCTGAACATCCACTTCGTAATAATTCGTAACCATCTTCATCTCGCATCGCACTAGAGGCGATTACAAAAAAAAACAAAAAAAAAAAACATTAATGTTTTGGAATACACAAAACGTCAAGAAGAAAAGAAGTCAAAACTTAACCGCAAATCAAAATAATATTCCAGTACCAAAAGTCAGGAAATACATAAATGATTAAATAAAGAGGATATGTATAATACACTGATTCGCTGGGAGTAGTCTCAATGTAGAATGCATGGTTCTTACTGGCCATTTGTGATTGGCTGAGGAAGCTTGAAGCCTGCCATAGCTCTTCCAATTGGGTGGTCTCGTTTGATCGTTTTGTTTTTATTTTTCTAATGCATTTAACGTCGAGTCGATTTGGAATTTACAATTCAAATGATTATTAAATTTAAAATGATCCTATTCACTGAACGCTCTGTAAACATAAATAGGACTTATCATATTCACGATTCTTTCTTAGTGATTGGTTCTTCGACGTTCTGATTGGCTTATGGCGCAATCTGATTGACTGCGGAACGATGATAAGATGCCTGCAACTCGCCACATCCTCTGTTTCTTAAGTTGTCAGTGACTGCAGTATGCGTTTACCGTGAGTCACCTTACCCTGTGAGTGGGAGTGTCCGCTTGTTTCACGACCCGGATGCGGAGAAGAAACTCTATCAGTGACCTGATTCAAAACCAAAAACGAAAACAAAAAATAATGAGCAACAATTGTGTGCGGACATCTCTGAATTGCAGTTTACCCCACCTAACCTTCAAGAAGCTATCGGACTAAGCAATGCTATAGACGCGAAGATAACTGAAAAGGTGATCAGATTATTAGAAGCACAAGGGAAGGAATCACTAAAGAACCCGAACTTCAAACAATTACAGTGTCAATGCGGAGGTATAGCTCGAGTTCTGTTGCGCACTTTGAAATACTGGTATTGATTGTCTCATTGGTATTCATATCGGCCGAGTCTACATGAACTACCAGGTATGAAATACCGACAAAAAAAAAAAAAAAACCAACATGATAGTTGAATCAGAAAAGCACAGATTGTGACTAGTCTTTCGATCTAGCTGTCAAATTAATTATGCAGTCACCGATAGTATATAAAAAAAACACAAAGTGTGTCCAGTTATTCCCAAAAATCTTGCTTTGTGATTCGTTCTTTGGTTTTTGTACCTGCTAATGAAGCTCTCTCATGGCTTTGAAAGGATAAGATGTTTGAGACTTTATCGAGACGCACTGCGTCTGACAGCTTAAAGAACGCCACGACGTGGCCATTGCCGAGCATTCTATCGCTGGGCAGCCAGCGATAGAATCACAAAGCAAACACTACCAGCACATTAAGCCGATCCCTGCGTTTCTTGAGCCCTCAAAGATTATAGTAATATGGTTGTTAAGCGTGTTGATGTCTAAATTACGAAAAAGAAAGAGGGAAATAGGAGACAATACAGACCGACACGGGCTTCATCTGGCTTCTCGAAGGTCGAGGGGAGCGCGTCGAAGAGGGAAAGAGTGAGGGCAGTGGCGTGAGTAAAGCAGGGGGAGATATGGCAATACCACATTAGAAGACAAAGCCTGCGCCGCGGTGGAAGAAGCGATAGGTTGTCTGAACGGCACCGCCTCGCCACAGAGCAAGTTTGTCGAAGGTTCGCTCCCATATCTGACAAACGCCGTAAGATGGTGCAGCATGACAGGAGCTCGAGGAACCGTCCTTATTTGCTTACACGTTTTTCAAGGCCGCGAGGCGCGCGATCGCACCTGCGCACGAAGACAAGAACCCGACCGTGGCCCTTACCAGGGGGATGCGCATATAGCCTCAGTAAAATTTTGGCTCTCGCCTTGTTCCCACACCTTTCGCCTGCGCCTCTCCGCCTCGTCTCCTTTCTTGCCAACGTCATCACTAGCGAATTCGCGCAACGCTGCCTAGCTGGCAAAGAAAGCACGACGCTAAAGCACGCCCAACGCCAGCAGGCACGTTTCTTCCACTTTATGTCGTATTCTCGCCGAGCTTCATTCTAGGTGGTATGCGGAGCGCCATTTCGTCTGCGTCTTTTGCAGGGGTTGTGGGGACGTCAGAACAGTGAGCTCTGATTGGCTCTGATTGAAAGGGTAGTGGGTACACCTCGAGGCAGCTTTCCTTGAGGACTATCCACTATCGTTCAATCAGAGCCAATCAGTGGTCTGCGTAACGGCGCCACCACAAACCCTGCAAAAGACGCAGAAAAACTTGTAGTCCGCATTGGCTTATGGGGGATATGCCGGCAGCTCTGCGTACGCGGTGAAAAGTGGGGGTCTGCTTCCGCATCCGTGAAATATCGGTTTTCCCAGGAGAGTGGTCCGGTCGTCGCACTTTAATCGTGATAAGTTGAGACGAGTTCCATTTGAGGTTTGCTTACATGGGCCGTTGTAGGTGCTCTTGAGGAGACCTCCGGGGTATAATAAGCCACAGTGGTCAGTTCATCTGAAAGACAGATCTCCAGATCATCAATCAATTTTAACACGAGGAAAACACTGGATTTCCTGCACTCTACATTAAATCTGGAGCGTCCGCTCTCCCGCAAAGCACTTGGGAGAGCCAATCGCCGGAATTGACGGTGGAAGGTCGGCCAGTAACAGGGCTAAAAATATAATTGGACCTAAAAAAATATGGGCTGTGACAGCATGATGAAACGTCGTGCTTATACCGCAACATATATTTTTTTTTCTTAAAGATGCTTAGTATTGTTATGTGCTGAACTTCCTCTCTAGATTCCAGCAATTGACCCCCTTCAAAATCGCGCGCCGTCTAGTAGCTGCTGCGACAACTTTCTGAATCCGCCATTTGCTTGTGCGCGTAATCTGAGCGTGTATTGGACCCGAGGGTGACGTCAGCGGTCGACGAGGGCTCGGATCCAATCACACGCTTCGTACCCCCAAAAATGGCGACCGCCAATGTTGCTTGACGAGGTATTGAAACTACCGATATTCCAAGTGCTTCGGGAGAAAGCAGACGCCGCAGTTTCCTTACCGGGTGTTAGACAAAAACAAATGCGTCGTTCGAAGGGGCAGTTAGCATAATGTTTCGCTCGCTCGTTTCCGTAGGTGTATACGGCGAGCAAGTGTTCCGAAATGCGTCTTGGGTGCATCGCAACGCAAGGAGGAGCACGCCAATAAGAGGGCAACATGAAGAAGCCTCAGGTAACGCGCGATGTTGAGGCAGTCAAGTGCGCACCGTGAACTGTAGAGGTCGGGGGAAACCAAGGTCACGTGGGCGCGTTTGGGGGCCAAACAAGCCTAGGAGGTGCGCAAAGAGCAGGCCATCTTGCACGCCGTATAGCATTCTTTAGCTATAACCGCACTCTTTCTTCATTCTGCCGTTTGCATAGAACCCTTTATGTTTGCCGTGATTGGCTGCCTATACGTGTTCAAGAAGAAAATCCACTCACAGACCTTTTTGTAGAGGATGGTATACGTGTAAATTAAATGCACCGCCCATCCTACATACTCTCCGAGGTGTTTAATTTTCATTTGTATCGCTCGTGGAAACCCGGCGACTATCTACTCCGTTGAACCGATTTTATGAACAATTTTAATTTTGGCGTTTATCTTAAAAGCAGGGGTAAAATTTGTTTACAAAGCGACTATTGAGTGATCTTTTAAGCTGGCGGAGAACATCAAACTGATGTTACACAAACAAGTGCCCAAACAGTGTTCTCCGATCCAACTACTATCGAGCCCGTTTTGGGTTTCTTTGTCTACTTTTATAGATAATTCCGGAGTCGGTGTTTTGCTCCCTTTTCCTTCCAATGCATTATGAACAATTCTGATGAGATACATTAAGTTGGCTTCCCTAACTGGCCAGAATTGCGCCATATGGTTCTGCACACTGACGCTCACAAGTTGCAATGAGGCAGGTGTGTCATACATACCCTGCCGCATAACACACGCCATACCTGTTTGGCCCAATGCACTAAAACTCAAACTACTACATACATTGAGTAAATATTCCAGAGTGCACGCTAGGGCGATAAATTGCTCGTTTCAAAAGATATGTTCATACAATAGTCTCATAATCCCAACTAGAACGCGTCTCCGAAAACAAAATCGTTTCTTTCCGTCGCAAAAATTAACTATGCATCACCGAACGCTCAGTGTCCACCCAAATGTAGCGCTAGCGGTCAGGACCAGACGCCAAAATTCCAAAGCTAACAATATAAAGGAAAAATGATCAGCCATTTTCAACGCGATGCGCTCCTGAGCGGTTAAATGGGCGCTAGGTGCCGCCCCGGGAACGAAGATTCCGAGAGCCTCGGTCACCGCTCGGGACGAGCTGGCATGCTCCGCGGCACGCGCCGTTCGCGCAAATCTTTCCCGCGACTCGGCGACGCGTTAAAAACTTTCGCTTATGTTGATGCAGCCGCAATGAATTGTAGAACCTGTTTTCGCGTACTCGAGGCAGCCTTGGGCTTCCTTCCGAGTGATCATGCACGCGCGGTAAAGTGGTGAATGACGAGCAAAAAGAAAACGCCAAATAAGAAAGAAATATTTTGTCAACCCACCTCCCAAGAAAAAAAAAAAAAGAAACAAAACGGAAGGAAAAAGAGGCGCTGGCTCAGTTTGGGTGGCTTGTAATTTTTATATTGTTGATGGCGTCAGAAAAAATCGAAAAAGCATCACTTTCCTGCAAAATGTTGCAATTCTGTTGTGTAATCGCAAAGCAGAAATGGAAAGATTTTCCCCTCTGCAGCCGTGCGCGGCGGCCATGGGAAACGCGTCGTGGCGGTGACGCGGGGATCGCTGCAGCTCAACGCCTCACGAAGAGCAGTAGAGAGAAAAAGAGTAAACATCATTGGGGAGAGCGCACGGAAACCGGTGCATCCTCACGTCGACGTCACTGAGCACGTCATTCGGAGAGTTGAGGGGTGCCGGAAACCTGAATCTTTCTTATTGTTTAAAATTATAATTAGGGCACACAGACTAAATCGCTTTTCTGTTCTTTACTTTAGAAGTGTCGGAGGACAACTCCTATAATTATTTGGCCATTGTCTAGAAATTGTTGCATAGCCGCTTTATTTTATGACTTCCGGTACGAGTCATTACAGCTGATGTCAAACTGAACATTTTAAGGTCACTTCGCGAACAACCATGCTGAGAATTTGTGGCCAGTACCATGTTTTTTTCTCGTTGTTTTCTTGACTTCTTGACCCTCTACAACGCGTGCATAATAAATTGAGCAGCAGCTGTTTGCATTGTAGCCGGGGCAAATATAGGGGGAAGCTTAAAAATAACGAATGGAGGGAAGCGAGAGTTTTTAACGCGTCGCCGAGTCGCGGGAAAGATATGCGGGAACGGCGCGTGTCGCGGAGCACGCGAGTTCGTCCCGAGCGGTGAGCGAGGCTCTCGGAATCTTGGTTCCCGGGGCGGCACCTAGCACCCATTTAATCGCTCAGGAGCGCATCGCGTTGAAGCGAGCGAACGAGTGGGCCAGCAGATAAGAAAGGACGCGCGTGCGCATTGCGCGGGTCTCGGCACCAGGCGCCGCGCCGTCAGGGAGCGCGGCGATGCAATTCGGTCGGCGCTCCCGTGTTATCCAGACTTTTGCTCACGACAGTACGCACAGCCATGTTGAGGACTATCGCCGCCCCGAGGAACCGGAGGAAACTAGACACGCGCCACGGGACCGCCACCCGTCGGAAGGAGAGGAAACTATAGGCACGCAAGCGCAAGCTTGGAATGGCGATAAAAAGCCCTCTCTGAGTTTTTGTTGACGCACACGAAAAATCCACTGAACACTAGCCATGAACTGCTTCGCTGTAAAACATGCTAATTATTGGGCGAGTACGTCCTGAATCTTGAATACACGGTAGCGCAACCGTGTATTCTAAACGTTATCTTTCTCTTCGGGATCTACCACGTATTCTGACCGTTAATTTATTCATACGTTGTAGCTGATTTTCACAAACCTTCGTACGAAAAAGAGGGCACGTTTTCGGTACTTCACTCCATTTATCCGCATGAATTTGTGGACTTCGTCTGCCTTATCTTTCTATTGAAAAAATTATAAAATAAGAAAGTTTGCCTATTACTTTTCAAATAAATAAGGTTAGTTCTGAATGAACTTTGGCATCTGACCACAACTGTTAACGCCACATATGGGCGGAGGCTGAGCGCCCAGAGACACGTTGTTTAGTTTCGCGGTAAAAAAAAAGACTGTCTATTTTCCCCCAGATTTTTCCGGGCGATTTCGCCAGACTTTTCTAGATATCCCCAGATTTCCCCAGATTTCCGCAAATGACGTATCGGAAAGACTTACCACCTTCTCCAATTGAGAACTTGACGGTACTTGGTGAGCTCACGAAGGTGTACTGGGTGAGTTTTCCCTTGATGGCGGACGTGTTGGTCACCAGATACCTCGCTCGTAGGGTGAGGATGTACCTAGTGCCACAGTGGAAACCTTCGAATTCCTGCTTCACGGCCTTCGGGTCGTTGATAATTATGTTCTTGTCGGTCCTGCCGTCGTCCACGTTGATGGCATTCGCGATGTAGCTGTGCACCGGAACGCTCGTGTTCTCTGGCGGAGTCCACCGAAGCATGATGCTTGCGGTTCTAATCCAACTCTCCTTACCACAGGATGCATAGACAACTTTCGCCTCCAAGTCTCGCGGCGCGTAGATGTCGCCTGCAAGGTAAATGAGCGCACAGCGCCAATGTAAAAAAGTAAATGTATTAAAAAAATAAAGAGAAATCTTCTTGCTTTGAAGGTAATTTTATCACACCTTTTAGGCTTTCATTTTGATTCTATGCCTTACACTTTTGTTTGTAAGATCGCCTCGAAGCTGTGGCTCTTGCGGTGAACCGAGAGAAGCGCAGAGTGTGTTTTCTCTTAAACAAAAGAGTTACTGTGCATGTACGGAACCTACACATGCTTTTGGCCAAAAGCACATCCCTCTCATAATTATTAATGTTTTTCTTACTGCATAGGTATTCCAGTCTAATATTTCTAATAACGATTACCTTAATTTTTTTTTAAGGGGAGGCAGGAAAGGGGGGAGGGGGCGGTTGCCCAATAAGAGCTTCGACGGACGCAGCGTCAAAGCGCGAAACGAGCTGGTGGCGATTAGACCTAGCAAAATCCTCGGATCTGCCGGTATGCAATACATATCAGCTGTTTTTTTACACATTTTCTGTATACGTCGTCCTTTGTCTATCTGCATTCTTGGGGCGGTGTTGTGCCTAAAATATGACGGCCTTTTTCTTTGATGAATCAAGACAAACATACGAAAGACAGAAGAAAATAATTAAAAACCCACACTTACACTTAAAAAAAAGAAAACTTGAGACAAAAGCAAAGTTGAAAAACTAGGAATATAGTGTGTTGGATACACTGTGGATTTATACTTCTTGAAGATACAGACCACTCTATCAGAGGTCACTCTATTAAAATCGCTTTTAAGTTTTCGGACTAGATCCTCACTACCATTATAAATTGATCCCTCTTTGGATGAATCGAAACTAACTTACTCCTCTTGTCGGTGTACAGTGTGGCAATTTCTTTCGGCGTGCGTACGTAGGCGAAGTCTGTCTTTCCCTCGGCGGAGTTTCGTTCAATCTTGTACTGGGCTTGCACGTTAAAAACGTAGAGCTGGCCGCATTCCAGGTTCTCGGTAACCTCGTTGGACTCTTCGCTACCGTTTATAATAACCATGTAGTCTTGATCGCCGTTCACGCCTCGCACGTGCACGACATAGCTGTTCACTTTGAAGGTCTTGTTCTGGGGAGCAGCCCAAGAGATACGGACGCTGGCCGTGCGATTCTTGGCAGTCATGTCTTCACAGTTTTGTTTATCTAGAGCCGCCGTGAAGTTTCGAGGGAGAAACTGAGGCCCTGAAAAAAAAAAAACGATTTTGAGAATTGATGAGGCAGAGTCTCATTTTCCTGTTTTTGGCTATTATATGGCACATCAAAATAAAAATATACATAAATACAGTTGAAAAGACACTCTGGAACAAACGCCTTGGAGCAAAACCGTATTAGGCCGATATGATGTTCCTGGGATTGCCAAGGTTGTGCGAAAGTTGTAACTTTCACAGAGGACAGGAAGAAGGTAGTACTGAAAGATGGCCAGGTAACACACCAAAGGAACACCTATTGGCGTTCCTCTGGCGTGCTACCTGGACATCTTTCATTTTGTCAGAGAATCCGTAGTTTTGGGACCTCGACTTCGCATTTTATCTCGAGTTTGGACCAGGCAGCATTGTCAAAAACTAGTAGGTTTGTAGAATAAGAGTACGAAAGATTGCATCGGCTCATAATGGACGCGATAGTACGCTTACACTCCGCGACACAGTCAACGCGAACACGGCATCGAAACTTCTTCGCATGTTACTAAAACAATGTGTCGGCGAGTGCAACACTTTACTGCGTAGGTTGGGGCGTACAGATAAGTACTCTCTACCTTATGATAAAAAACAGCGCGCAGAGGAAAGCGCTGCTCTTTTTTTCTCTGTCGTGTCGTCTTAAATCCAACTGGCCCAGCTTTCCAGATTAGTCTCTAAGCAAGTATTTTTTTTTTTATTTTTTTCTACCGAAAAAAAGTAATCTTATGAGGAAAACAGGGAATTTTCGCGACTGCTTGTTTGTACTAACAGTGTCGTCACATGTGACACGAACCTCTATGCGCGTTTGCTATTGCTTTCGTGGGCAATAAGTAATATGTGGCGGTTTATTCTGAGCTTCTGATCACGCTCAAACGCAGTGGTTTCCAAACAAAAAGGAAATAGGTAGAGAGAGTGGGGGAGTGGGGACGGGAGAGACGCCCCGGCGAATGTAAACCTGTGCTCCTATTGACGAGGAGATCAAACATAAGAGGCGCGTTGTCCAGCTTTCTGTTCTCCAGAGCTCAGTCTTAGCCCAATACAAGGCCCGTGGACTGGATTGATTGCTTCATCTATCTCGATCGATCTCTAAACTCCGTCTCACTAGTTGCGTGCCTTACAGGCGAAGGCAACGCCAGCTGAAGAGAGGAAGGGAGAGCACTAGGAAGGCGGGACGGGAGGGGAAGTCAATAGAGAAAGGGAGAGGACAAAGAATGTTAGAGAAGACACGAGATATCGCCTCATTCCTAGCCTTCCTAGTGCTTGCCTTATCTCTCCTCGCCTGGCGTTGCCTTCGCCAGTACTGCACGCAACTAATGACACGGAGTGTAGGCAGAGACTTGACACGAGTGTCGCCTCAGCGTTCGGACGGGACTCGAGTGAATTCGGACTTGACTTAAGGCACGAGCCGGACGCTGGACAAGCGTTCGCGTATACGTCAGCCGAGATCTCTGTCAGGAACGCAAACAAACAAATTGTGTTGCCGCTGTTCCCTTGGGTGTAGTTTTCAACTTAGCCTCTAGAGACGCGACGGTTGCACCTCCTCCGCAGTATTGCTACAAAAGTATATTTGACGCCCTAGAAGTATATAAAAAAATTTAAATTGTTTTTTGTGATTATCTTTTGACTGAACTGTAAGAGGCCGCAATACATATCCCTATTTCGGATGAAAAAGTCCTTAATTTTGAACGAGTTTATAGTAATATCAATCAATCAATCAATCAATCAATCAACCAATGAATTAATAAATTGTTTATTTAACATCAGGCACTGATGCGCAATAGAATATTGTTCTCTTGCCTCAGTTGTATCTTCTTACTTTTAACATTTTAGTTCATTTTTTTAAAGATTCTGTGTGAGGGTATATCAATAACGATTCTAATCGAATATCACTGCGTCATTCATAACTTTCGCAGTGGAAGGGAAAGCCAGAGTTCTCTTAACGGTGTTAAAGCTATAGGGACGACATTGCGCGCTATTAGATTGCAACCGGTGTTCGCACACCTATATTTACGCGTCTGATACCTTTGATGTCGTTTACGGATGGGTACGTATGCTTCGGAGTTGGTGTTGGTGTTGGCGACGTCCACGTGATGGCTTCGGCTGACTTTCGGGTTTCCTTGTCATGGAGTCCAGGCTGGAAAAGGCCATTGATTGACACCACCTGCCATTCCTCGGCTACAGTTAAAGCCGAATTAGCGACAGAAAGAAGCGTTTTGAATGGATATAATTTCTGGTGGATATACACGTCTGCGGGTACAACACACAGCAGGCGCCGCCATCCTGTTGTCTGTCATTGTGCACCCCTAATCTCTATTGCAGTAAGCTGGATCACGGATCGAGGTTTGTCTTGCTGGGGTATAGCGGGACCACCGGCAGCCGTCGCGTGAAACCGGCTAATGCATGGGACTCTATAGTAGAAACTGGGAAGACTGCAGTTTCTTACCTTATTAGGTTGTTCTTCACTATGAAACGTTTATCGTGTTTTTTTCGGGAAAGACTGTTAATGTTCTGGGCGCAAATATCGAAAGAGTATTTAAAGAATATACGTTAATTATTCATTATAACGACAAATACAGCCATCAGGCTCAAAAGACAAACGTGCGATTGTCATTTACGGATATTGTGGATCATAAACAGGTTATTTCTAAACACGACGGGTATATTTCAAATTTCGTTAAAGTATCCCTCCAAAAAAAAAAAAAAACGGAAAGAAAAAAAATTAAACAGGCTAATTGGGACACGCGTGTCGAAAAATAAATTTTACGCGAAAAAAAATTAGAGCAATATTGACGGCGAGAAATTTCTTTTATAATCTGCACGCGAAGTTTATGACGTCACTGGTCATTCCGGAATGACCGGTCGTGAGGGCGAAGCCACTCCAGCTCTCCTCCACGCGCCCGAAATGCGAAGAGAGAAAGCAAGTCGAGAGGAGATGACTGCCGAGTGAATCCCGTCTCGCGCCATCAATATTTCGCAAACAATATTTTTTCCCCTATAATTTATTTTTTGACACAATTGTACAACCAGTCTGCAAAAAAAAAAAAAAAGAATATGGACGACAGGGTTTTTTAACTTGCAACAAATCGTTTTACTGGCTTCAACTGACCTCCCGAAGGTCGACGGGAGCGCGTCAAAGAGGGAAAGATAGAGGGCAGTGCGAGAGAGAAGCAGGGGGAGGGGGGGGGGGGGGCGGGATATGGCAGTTGCACTTTAGAAGACCAAAACCTGCGCCGCGGTGGAAGAAGAGAGAGGTTGTCTGAAGGGCACCGACCGCGGAGCGAGTGTGTCGAAGGTTCGCTCCGATTTCTGACCTACGCCGTGAGATGGCGCAACATGACAGGACCTCGACAAACCGTCCCTATTTGAGTACACGCTTATGGAGGCAGCGAGGCGCGCGATCGCACCGGCGCGCGAACACACCAACCCGACAGCGGCCCTTCGCGGGGAATACGCGTAGCCCGAGTGAAATTGTGACACTGGCCTTCCTCCGACACCTCTTGCATGCGCCTCTATGCCCCCTCTCCCTCGTTGCCTACGTCATCACTACTGAATCCACGCAACACCGCCTACCTGGTGTCAGCGTCACCACTAAAGCGTCTTTAAGCGTCTCACAAAAAGTGCGATGCTATAGCACGGCCGACGCCAGGAGGCACATGTCTTTCACTTGCGCCATATTCTCGTCGAGCCTCAACGCGCTTGCCGCTTGAGGTGGGTCGGAGATCCACCAACGATGACGTAATACTCAGGCCTTGTCTTCTGGGTAGTACGCGGAGCACACGTTCGTCTGCTTCTTTTGCGGGGGTTGCGGTGACGTCAGAACGCCGAGCTCTGTTTTTCTCTGATTGAATGATAGTGAGTGTGTATAGACCTCGAGGCAGCTTGCTTTGTGGTCTACCGACAAAACTTCAATCGGAGCCAATCAAAGCTGGGTGTTATGGCGTCACCACAACCCCTGCAAAGGAAGCAGACGAACTTGCGGTCCGCATTGGCTTATGCCCCATAAGCCAATGCGGAGCGCATTGCTGGCAGCTCTGCGTGATAAGTTGTGACGAGTTGGATTTCAGGTTTGCTTACATGGGCCGTGACTTTTGTCTGGAAAGACGTGCGTGCAGACGAAGGCGTTGTAGGTGCTCTTGAGGAGGCCTCAGGGGTATAATAAGCCACAGTGGTGAGTTCGTCTGCAAGACAGAGCGCACAGATCATGAATCATTTTAACCCGAGGAAAACACTGGTATAACTACGCACTAAGTGTTGGAGCGTCTGCCTCCGGCAAAGCACTTGGGAGAACCAATCGCTGCAATTTACGGAGGGAGGATGGTTCTGACGGTGTTAAAAATATATTTGGAATTAAAAACAATATGGGCTGTCACACCATGAAGAAACGTCGAGCTTATACCGAAACATATATATATATATATACATATATATATATATATATAGATATAAAGATATAGTATATATATATTTTTTTACTGAAAGATGTTTAGTTTTTTTATTTGCTGAACTTCCTTTCTGGATTCCAGCAATGGACCCCCTTCAATATCGCGCGCCGTCAAGTAGCTGCTGCGCCAATTTTCCGAATTCGCCATTTTGTTTTTGATCGTATTCTGAGCGTGTATTGGACCCGAGGGTGACGTCAGCGTTCGGCGAGGACTCGGATCCAAACACACGCTTCGTGCCCACAAAAATGGCGACCGCCGATGTTTCTTCATTAGGTATTGAAACTATGAATATTCCAAAATGCTTCAGGAGAAATCAGACGCCACAGTTTCTTTAGCGGGTGTTAGACAAACATAAATGCGTCGTTCGCAGAGGCAGTAAGTATAAGGTTTCACGCACTCGTTGTCCTTACGTGTACACGGGGAGCGAGTGTTCCGAAATGTGTCTTCGGTGCATCGGAAGGAATGGAGGAGCACGTTAATAAGAGGGCAACATCGAGAAGCCGCGGGTAACGCGCGATGACGAGGCAGCCAAGTCTGCACCGTGATTGGTTGAGGTTGGGGGAAACTAAAGTCACGTGGGCGCGTTTGGGGGCCAAATAAGCGTACGAGGTGCGCAAGGAGCGGACCATCTTGCACTCCGTATAGTGTTCTTTAGTTATAATCTTACTCTTTTTTCGTTCTGCCGTTTGCCTAGAACCTTTTATGTTTGCCATGATTGGCTGTCTACGTGTTCAAGAAGAAAAGTCAACTCAAAGACATTTTTGTAGAGGATGGTATACGTGTAAATTAAATGTACCGCCCATCCCGCACACTGTCCGAGCTGTATAAGGTTCACTTGTATCGCTCGTGGAAACCCGGTGACTATTCATTCCGCCAAACAGATTTCGTGATCCATTTTATTTCGACGCTTATCTTAAAAGCTGGGATAAAATTTGTTTACACCAAGCGACTATTTAGTGATCTTTTAGGCTGGCGTAGAACATCAAACTGGTGCTACATGAAAAAGCGCCCAGACAGTGTTCTCCAATCCAGCTACTATCCAGCACGTTTTGGGTTCCTTTAAACACTCTTATTAGATATCTCCGGCTTTGATGTTTTGCTTGCTTTTGCTTCCAGTGCATTATGAACAATTCTGACGAAATAGACAGAATCTCAATACTGTAAACGACGTATTTTTTGCGAGATCAGTGTTTCGCGATTTAGGTAAAAGCCCATGTTTTGAGATAATTCGCAAGTTCTACTTTTCGCGACATGGTAGGATCTCAATATAGACTTCAATTTGTTTACATTTCACCAGAATTGTTCGCGGGACCTATTTTTCGCGAATTGTAAGTGATCCGCGAGAATTAGGACCGCGCGAATATTAGTTCGTTTACAGTCTATCATTCTGCACACTCACGCTCGAAAGTTGAAGTGAGGCAGGTGTTTCATACATAGTGTGCTGCATGACACACGCTAAATGTCTTTTGGCTTAATGAACCTAAAATCACACTACGTCGCAAAAATGAACTATAGATCACAGAATGTCCATATCCACCGAAATATGTAGCCCCAACGGTTCGGGCCAGATGCCACAGTTTCAGAACTAACCGTCATCATAAACATTGTAAATATTCGGCGACTTTCTGCTGAATCTTAAAAAACAAGGTGGCGCTACCATGTATTCTAGCCGTTGTCCTTGTCTTCGAGATTTGAAATACATTCTAACCGTCACCTTATTCAAAAGTCATAGGCGATATTCAAGAAATTTCAACAGAAAAAATGGGGCCCTGTGTTTGTAGTTGACCCAATTCATCCACATGTAGTTGTGCACTATATCGGCCCAATTTTCCTTTGAAAATTTGTCAAAATTGTTTATTACTTTAGAATTCGATAACGGTTATTTCTGTAACTTTGGTATCTGATCCGAACTGTTAGTGCTACATTTAGGCGGAGGCTAAGCGCCTGGCGACGCGTTGTTTAGTTTTGCGGTAAAGGAGGAGGCTGTCTATTTTCCCACAGGGTTCTCCAGGCGATTTCGACAGACTTTTCCAGATATTCCCCGATTTACCCAGTCTTCCCCAAATGACGTATCGGAAAGACTTACCACTTTCTCCAATGGAGACCTTGACGGTACTTGGTGAACTCTCGAAGGTGTACTGGGTGGGTTCTCCCGTGAAAACGGACCTGTAGGTCACCAGATACCTCGCTTGTAGGGTGAGGATGTACCTAGTGCCACACTTGAAACCTTCGAATTCCTGTTTCACGGCCTCGGGGTCATTGATGATTATGTTATTGTCGGTCCTGCCGTCGTCCACGTTGATGGCGTTTGCGATGTAGCTGTGCACCGGAACGCTCGTGTTCTCTGGCGGAGTCCACCGAAGTATGATGCTTGCGGTCCTAATCCAACTTTCCTCGCCACAGGAGGCATAGACCACTTTCATCTTCAAGTCTCGCGGCGCGTAGATGTCGCCTGCAAGGTTAATGCGCGAACAGCGCCAGTATTAATAAAAGGGTCAATGTATTAAAAGAAATGGAAATACTTTTAAGCTTTCATTTGATTCTATGCCCAATACTTTTGTTTTGAGGTCGCCTCGAAGCTGTGGCTCTTGCGGTGAAACGAGACATGCACAGAGAGTGTTCTCTACTAAACAAGTGCTACGGTGCATGTACGGCCCCTACAAATGCTTCTCAAAGAAGCACACACTTGTAACAATTATTATAATTATTAAGTTTTTTTTCCTACTGTATGGGTATTCTAAACTAATATTTCCAAAAACTATTGCTTTTCTTCTTTTTTCTTGTGTGTGCGTGGGGGGGGGGGGGGGGGGGAGTGGGGGGCGGGGGCGGGTATGGGGGCGGGGGTGCTCATTAATAACTTTGACGGACGGAGCGTCAAAGCGCAAACAAGCTGGTGACGATTAGACATCACAAAATCCTTGGGTCTGCAGTTGTGCAATACAAAGCAGCTGTTCTTTAAACGTTCTGCATTTATGTCGTTGTTTGCCTACCTGCACTCTCGGTGTTGTGTTGTGCCTATACTACGACGGCTTTTTTTTTTTTTTTTTTGTCTTTTTTCGTGAATTAAGACAAATATACAAAAGAGAAAGAACACAAATAAAGAAATCCACACCCACATTTAAAAAAGAATACTTGAGACAAAAATAAACAATAAAACCTTGGAATATAGTGTGATGTATACACTGTGGGTTCATACTTCTTGAGGATACAGTCCACTTTATAGGAGGTTACTCTAAAGCCGTGGATTAAAGTAGGAGTTACTACAATCGCTTTTAAATTGTAGGAGTAGAGCCTCACTAACCTTCGTAAATTGATCACACTTGGAATTAATAGAAACTAACTTACTCCTTCTGTCGGTGTACAGTGTGGCAATTTCTTTCGGCGTGCGTACGTAGGCGAAGTCTGTCTTTCCCGCGGCGGATTTTCGTTCAATCTTGTACTGGGCTTGCACGTTGAAAACGTAAAGTAGGCCGCATTTTAGGTCCTCGGTAACCTCGTTTGACTCTTCGCTACCGTTTATTATAACCATGTAGTCTTGATCGCCGTTCACGCCTCTCACGTGCACGACATAGCTGTCGACTTTGAAGGTCTTGTTCTGGGGAGCAGACCAAGAGATACGGACGCTGGCCGTGCGATTCTTGGCAGTCTCGTCTTCGCAGTTTTGTTTGTCTAGAGCCGCCGTGAAGTTTCGAGGGAGAAAATGGGGTCCTGAAAAAGAAAAAAAAAAACGATTTTGGTAAGCAATGAGACAGATTCTCATACTCCTCTCCTTGGTATTTATATGGCGAACCAAAATAAAAATATACATAAATACAGAAGAAAAAACATTCTGGAACAAACGCCTTGGAGCAAAACCGTATTATGCGGATATGAGGTCCCTGGGATTGCCAAGGTTAGTCGTCTCACTGGCGGGCTACCTGCTATCTTTCAATTTGTCAGAGAGTTCGTAGTTTGGGACCTCGACTTCGCATTTTATCTCCAGTTCGGACCACGCAGCTTTCTGAAAAACTAGTAGATTTCCAAAAAAAAAAAAAAAAAAGAGTATGAAAGATTGCATCGGCTCATATTGGACGCGATAGTACGCTTACACTCCGCGACACAGTTAACGCGAACGCGGCATCGACACTCTTTCGTTTGTTACTAAAAGAATGTGTTGGAAAGAACAACACTTTACAGCGTAGGTTGGCGTCTACAGCTAAGTGCTCTCTACCTTATGATAAAAAAAAAAACAGCTCGCAGAAAACTCCGTTTTTTTTGTCTTTTTTTATTATGTTGTCTCAATACCAACTGGCCCAGCTCACCACATTACTTTCGACCTCAGCAGTTTTGTTTTCTTTTTTCTACGAAAAAAAAAAATTAGGAGGAAGACAGAGAGAATTCGCGGTTGCTTGTTCGTACACATGTGTCACACGTTCGTGTCACATGTGTCGTCACATGTGACACGAGCCTCTAGGCGTGTTTGCCTAGAGGCTGGTGGCCAATTAGCGGCCAATTAGTAATACATATGCGGCGGTTTAGTTCGTGCTTATGTTCACGAGCAAATGCTGCGATAAAAAAAAAATAAAGAAAGAGAGAGGGGAAGAGAGAGAAAAAAAAAAAGAGGGAGAGGGGGGACGGATCGAGATGCCCCGGCGATTGTAAATCTATGTTCCCTTTGGAGAGGAGATCAAACATAGGAGGTACTTTGTCCAGCTTTGTGTTCCCCATAACTCGGTTTTAACCCAACACAAGCCCCGTGTACTGGATTCGTTGCGATCTCTATCTCGATCGATCGCTAGGCGGAGACTCGACGCGAGTGCCGTCTCAGCGTTCGGACGGGACTCGCAGTGAATTCAGACTTGAGTGATAGAACAAGAGCACGAGCCGGACGGTATACAAGCGTGCGGGTATACGTCAGCCGAGATCTCCGTCAGGAACACAAACAAACCAATTATGTTGCCGCTGTTCCCTTGAGTGTAGTTTTCAACTTCGCCTCTAGAGGCGCGACGGTTGCACCTCTTCCCCAGTATTGCTACAAAAGGTTTTTCGACGCCCCAGAAGTATTTTAGATTTTTGTTTAATATTTCTTTTGATTTTCTTTTGACTGATAATACGAGGCTACATTACCTATACTTGTTTCGTATGAAAAAGTTATTAATTTTCAATGAGTTTATAGTAATGCCAATAAATCAATCGATCAATCAACCACTGAGGCGCTTATTTAACAGCAGGCACTGATGCGTAATAGAATATTGTTCTCTTGCCGCAGCACTCTCTTTTTTGTTTCTTATTTTTTTAAGATTCTGTGTAAGGGCGTGCAAATATTGACCCGAATCGAATATCACTGCGTCATTCATAACCTTCGCAGTGGAAGCGAAAGCCGGAACAATGGGTTTCCTTAACGATGTTAAAGCTATAGGGATGACATTGCGCGCTATTGGATTGCAACCGGTGTTCGCACGCCTATAATTACGTGTCTGTTACCTTTGATGTCGTTTACGGATGGGTACGCTTGCTTTGGAGTTGGTGTTGGTGTTGGCGACGTCCATGTGATGGCTTCGGCTGGCTTTCGGGTTTCCCGGTCATGGAGTCCAGGCTGGAAAATAATGCATTGGTTGACACCTCGTGTCATTCCTCAGCTACTCCTAAAGCCGAGGTAGCGACAGAAAGAAGGGTTCTTAATGGACAGAATCTGTGGTGGATATACACGTCTGCAGGTACAACACACAGCCTATAGGCGCCGCCAGTCTGTTGTCTGTCATTGTGCACCAGTGATCTCTATTGCAGTAAGCTGGATCACGGATCGAGGTTTGTCTTGCTGGGGTCTGGTGGAGTCGTCACCACCGGCAGCCATCGCTTGAAACCAGCTAATGCACGGGACTCTATTGTAGAAACTGGGAAAACCAGTTTCTTACCTTAGTAGGGTGCTCTTGGCGATGAAACGTTTGTCGTGTTTTCCGGGAAAGACAGTTAATGTTCTGGGCGCAAATATCAAAAGTGTTAAAATACTAATCCTTTTTGTATTAATGTTTTGTGGTTGAGGGTCGAGGGTGGCGACTTTGTTGGGCGTAAACTGTGATGCGGTTCAGTGAAATAACTGTTGCCGAGAGTCAATGTGGAGTTGTTATTGATCTCGAAGTCATCAGAGTTTAGCACACGTTAAGTTAGAAGGCCTTTACCGGGAACATGCGCATTGTTTCAAGAGCTTGTACAAAGCACTTCTGGTGTATGCTTGTGCTTTGAACTGCAATGAGGGATTAAGTGACAAACTAAAACTCGGAGCGCATCATCTATTTGTTGAACATGTCCTTATTTAGCAACTGAAGCAAGCGACGCGGGCGCAATCCGTGGTGCTCCGGTACATTTGATTTCTTTAATCGGCGATTGAACGCTTGATAAGTACCTATTCGATCCCCAAACACCTGATGTAAGGATCGCAGGACCGATATAATGACCCCGAGGATTGTCAAGGTGAGTAAGATACTCGCCTTTTAGCACCGCGAACAAGCTTAAATAATCATACTTTTGTGTGTTTCTCGCATTGACTTGCATGTATTGCCTGGTGTCAAGCAATGGCAGCCAGTGGTGGCATCAACGGGCTCCTGATCCAGGATCTAGCCTACTGCAATTGAGATCAATGGTGTACACTGGCCGATCTCCAAGCCCGGATGGTTGTATGGATCGACAGTATTTGCTATATACACTTTGTATGGGGTGGCGGCTTTCACCACCTTGCCTAGAAACATTGGCACCTCTTTCCTTGTAAAGGCCGAGCCTATCTGGGAACCATGGTTCCGGCCTTATCGGTGTTTAGCATTTAGTGTTTACGCTAGGTGGTGCAAGTTACCTCCCGTTATAAAGGATACAGCTGCTAAGATCTCTTTAATAAATCTGGGCCCGTAGCTGCCAGACAGCCAACCCTCAGATAGAACCATATCGACAAAAGTCAATATATTTTTTTAGTTCCGGTGATGGGCTTTGTTTTGTCAATCAGGGTGGCTAAAGTCCTTCAGAAATGCGATTACTTGCAACCGTAAATTGAATAATATAGACCTTCTCTGTGTACTCTCGTCCCCAGCCCCCTAATAGGCGTATCCGGTATGGGTGACGAAAAAATAACCCAACGTTTCAATCTGCAAATAGTAAAAAAATAAAGGGGAGGCAAAACGACAAAGTGTGACGTTTACGCTTATATTCTAAATGCATTCTATTGGCGTGGCAAAGGCAAAACAATGTTTTCGCCCATACTGGAAGTGACGTCAATTCAAGATGGCGGCGCACTTGCAGAAAAGATCTATAGGGTGGCTCAAGTGGATCCGACGCCGTAAAACGAGCCAGAAAAATCGGAGCTTGTGCATATAAATTTTAAACTTTAACCGAATGTGCAGTGAGCAGGTCAGTTTGCAGTGTGAAATAGCAAGGTGTCTTTTTTTTCCCCGCTAAAAATAGAGCAACAGTTTCGCAAAGTCAACGTTAGGCGCGTTCGCAAACGACCAAATTATCGACGCTATCAAGTTGTGGCGCCATCTCTCGATAGGCGCAGCGAGCAGTCAACAGAGTGCGTCGTCTGCTTGCTTTGCTTATCGTGGGATGTCGCCACAAGTTAAAACCGTCGCCAACTCTACCATCTGCGAACGGTCCCAACGTTGACTTTGGCAAGTTTGCTGCTCTCATTTGTTTACAACTTTACAGGAAGAAAAAAACGTCTTGTAATTTTTCACAGTACAACTGTCCTGTTCAGTGCACATTCGATGAAAGTTTAAGCTCTCAATGTGCAGGCGCATATTTTTACGACTCGACTTACAACGTCCGATTCGCTTGAGATACCCAATTCATGTTCATGTTAATATCGGATTGACTCCAGCGTTGCCACTAAAGTTACTTTATTGCTAATCGGTGACATATGCAGTCGCAAACCGCATTGGGTGAATAGTAATGGTTTTAATTACGTCTGCATTTTTATGACTTAAATTTTACTTTGATTATGATTGTTGTAATAGGAGCAAACCATCCCATTGAACCCACGTGAATTAGGTTCGGGTCCACCGGGTTCAGCATGTAGTGATTCTGTTTTCCGAGATTTGCGAAGAAAGAGACACACATGCATATTAGAGAAGGGAAATGTTGAGATCAAAAATATCTGCACCCAACTAGCACAGTTCTTTGGATGAAAATTTATTTTTGTCTGGGAACTTAGGGCCTCAAAGAGCCCGAAGAAGCCAAGACAGAGCCAAACTTGACTTCCTTCGGCCAGAGTCCGGGTATCTTGACCTTAGTTCATCAAACAAATGCCAAAGTTATAGGCTTCATTGATGGTATAGTTTAGCTGGCATCTGGAATGTTGGGGCCTAAATCGCCAAAGAATTGTCCCGATTTAGGCTTTAGCTCTGCTCGTTTTCGGTTCACACGTGACAGACATAGACCGGCCCTGCGGCAATTATGTGACGAGCCAGAGAAAAGTCATAAAAGCACCAAATAAAGCTATCCCCCCCCCTCCCCCAACTAACGAGCCGAACATCTCATTAGCGCTCCGTAGCCAATGACATCGTGGTATTAGCCGATGGGAACGCCGCAGGACAAATTACGAAACAAGATGCGTGAGCATCGCAGGCCACGCTTAGCGAATCTTAAAATCTCAGAGGTTATGTACAGTGTGTAGCTCAATGGAGCTATACTATATTTTAAATCAACGCGTACAAATCTCTTTGTTTGGATTTACTTCGCGAAGTCTAGAAATGCAAAAGCTTATGTTGAATGTATGACAGCTTTGTAACCGTTAAAACTACCCTACCCATGAGCCCAATTAGTCGGAAACACATACAACAAACAAGGGTGCAGGACGATTGAAGCTGTATTTCCCCACCGAAGCAAAATAATCGCTATTAATTTTTGAAATTCAGAGGTACTTTCGTCGCGAACGTGACTTCTTTTCCCCAAGAAACACGGTGAAACACTTACCTCCATAACCGGAACGTCCTGTGGTTGGTGGTTGGCATCCGTTTTCCGCACGTGGTCCATGTGATATGAGGCACACAGAGTTAAGATTGAAATACACTTGTTTATGTTCCACAAAACAAAGCTCAATACAATACTCACATTTTGAAGCGATAATAAAAGAAGCTCACTCACCCTCTGGCGTGCAACTCGCTTGTGCACAAAAGTATGTGGAGCGCAAGTTCGTCTGCTTTTTGCACAGGGGTTGCGATGATGTCAACACGCCAAGCCCTTATTAGCTGATTAAAAACAATTGTGGCTAGACCTCAAGGCATCTAGCAATAATGTCTACCCACTATCCTTCCAGTCAAAACCAATCAGAACTCGGCAGCGTTCTGACGTCACAGCAAACCCTGCGCAAGAAGCAGTTGACTTGGTCTCCGCATAAATTGAACGAGGTAAGACAAATGATAAACAAAGTAAAACGAGGGGCAAAACCAGGCGTGCTTGTGTCATATTTTGTTTTATGTATTAATTTTTGTTTTGTTTTACGTAACTGGCACCAATGCGTTGATCGCCGCGTTTATTATACATTAAATGTCAACCCCTTAAAGCGATGTCCGAGTATACGACCGTCGTCGGGCTGGTGGGAAAATAAGTTCTCATTTTTGTTTTTGCGGTTAATTCAGAGTCCGTCACTTCTGTTCCGGGTCACAGTCTAAACTTAGCAGATCCAAGGTTCTTCATATTATTAACTAGCATAGGACATTCATAAAAATTATTACTAATCGTGGCACTCACATTTTTTTCTACTTTTGGTGTTGAAACATGGTTTTATATCATTTACTAATAAAAATAAAACCACGACAAGAAGACATAATATAATACATACTTCTGTCCAAGAATCGAATCTTTAAATTTACACCTTTACATGCTCTCTCTCCTGTAACGTTTCATAATTTTTTTGTACTTATCACCATAACAAAACACATACTCATATACATAGGCCCGAAAAGGAAAAAGAAACAATTGTCATTACTTGGATGTCAAGTGTATCTCTTCAACGGAGCCTCTTTTCTATTTATCTCGTAGATTCTGTACTCCAAAGAAAAGAAAAAATGATACTAGAGGTCTAAACTATTATAGTCACCATTAAGCCACCATACTTCGTTTCAGGTTAGGCCTGACCGCGGTTAAAGCTTGGGCTTAATGTGCACAGTCCAGCAGCGCTAAAACTGCATCTTCACGAGGCTCGTTGTCTTTGTATATTTGCTCTCACCAACTGAACAAATCACGCACAAAAAAGGTGCAGGTTGGGGGTGCATTCAGTGTGCATGATTGGTTTATAGTCGGCAATAGGAAACAAGCAAATGCCAAGAACTCCATGACACTGCAGTTTTGGCGCTGCTCTGTTGGCTCCACTTAGGCCCGTTCACACTCTTGCAACCGAGTACGACCGAGAGAGACGAGACTTGGTGAAACCTCTTATACTTTCCTAGAAGGAGAGAACACACTGGCACTCTGGTGTCATCTATGCGGTGACCCTGGAACTGCATTTCACAAGAGCGAAAATTTTGCGGGATTTCCGAGGTCAAATATGCGTAATACCTATAAGAAAGGCTCGTCTATAATGTTGGCAAAAGTTTTTCGAGCCAAGAAAGAAAGCATAATGCGCGAGACAAATAGAAAGTATGCCGGACCGCCAAGTTTACACTGCTACCCAATAGATGGCGCCAGTGTGTCCTCTCGTTGTTTGCGTGTCTATTGTGGACTCTCGTTTTAAAAGAGAGTGCGCCACAAAATACATACATACATTCATACATTGGAAGAGATATTCCAAGGTTCCAAGGCACCCAGTTCTAAGAGGTCGCAAGTGTGTGAACGGGCCTTTAGAGTGCCTCAGTGTTGCTTGCTGGCCGCGTCTTGCTAGGGTGGCGACATCTTCTGGGGAAGCAAGTGCCGCCTGTTCGGCCGCGGCCGCCATTTTTCCCTCCCGCGGTCTGGTGAACTCGTATACGCGAGACCACTGGATCGGCTTGTGCTCACGAAAATACCGAATTATAAAGTACTCCATTGGTTCGGGATATAAGGTATTTCAAGTAAAGACGCTTTCCTCGACTCGGTAATGCAACGAAGCGTTGCAAAACCCGGCGATCTTTACAGTGTTTTCGAAATATCGTTAGAAGGCATCGGCGCAAAATCAATCGCGTAGTTCACCGAACACATGATTCGCGTGTTGCCAAAGTCATCCCTCGTTGTTTCACGAGTGCTAATGCTGAAAACCTGCGTAAACCGTCCACAAACGGCTAAATGTGAGCGGGAGGTAAGATGGCGGTTTGTCTAGCAGACGACAGAGTTAAAGTGCTCACTCTCGGAGGGCAGTCAGCTCAACATCGAGACAATCTAAACTGCATCAGTTCCTACCGTCGGCTGCGGTCGTACGTATAGCGACATTGAAAGTGAACCACTAAATTTCGAGTAGAAAATTCAAACTTACGCCATACGAAAATTCGGGGGACATCAAAGACACCAAGCACACGAAGAACAAGCCGAGGTCCTTCATGGTGACGAGCGCCTCGCGGTCGTCTCTGTGGCAATCCTAAGAGAGAACGACTGTGCCGTTCAGCTGCTCTTGACGTTATGAGTGTTCGCGATCTTCGGAATATATCTTATGAGAGCAGCTACGCCGAGATCGCTGAGAGGGCAAAACCCCAAAACACGTGCAACCGAACACACCGCGACGGTATGTGCGATTATACAAAAGAGTTGCAGGTTGGCGGTTGTCCGATAACGCTTCCAAAGCTCTAAACTTGACTCTACGAAGTAATCGAGACGTGGGCGGTGTCTGTTCGGCAAGTGATAGGGTTCAGACCGCTGTCCCCTTGAAGACAATAGAAAACAGGCGAGCCGTCTCTAAACTGCGGGGCAATAGCAGATTGCTTTCAGACGATCTATACTAGGAACTCTCGGTAGGATGTGAGTGCCGGTATTGTCACGTTAAAGGGATTGTCCGGTCTAAACTGGAAGTACTTAAGTTTTTGCGCTCGTTAGGTCTAGGGAGCCTTCATATAGACAAACGTCATTTTTTATATTGATATATAATGTCCGGATATTAATTGAACTAGTCGTGAGCGTCTGTACGAAACCGCACCCCGAATTTCGCCAGTGTCAATGACTGACATCCTGCTGTTACGCGTGACGTAACATCAGGCATGGGATCGTCGGCTATGCACGCACTTCGTGTACGCGGGGGTTGGAACATATTCTTCGATGAATGTTTTGTATTTTGTTTCCTCTCATAGTACTCTATTTTAGGTTGTTCTCAGTTCAATAACTTCTCTTGTCAGAGCAACAACAAAAAAAAAAGAAAGACAGGACTTTTATTGAGATGTCATTCCAAGACGGCCGTGAGCTTGTAGAAACTATCCATGCGTTCCACGGATTGTCATATCACTCCTTGCAAAGAGTAACCACACCTTTGCGAAGATGATTGCCGAGGCTGTCTATGTTTCTGGCGGTATTGGTGACCGAGCATGGTCATGAATAGTAAAGGTAATCCGGAATTCAAAGCCATTATATGTCTGGCAGTCTCAACGCTGCGGCACGGGTTCAGGGGATATTCTTTAACTATGCCTTGGGACATGTGGTCTCCAAACGCGCGCGTACCCGCCTTTTATTATTCTTTCTTGTTGAGACAAAGTTTTGGAACCGGTAACCTCCAAAGGAACCTCATTTTTGCAAAGTACACGTTATTCACGCGGCACTTGCGCGATGTCCACCGTCGCACCAACCTACTGCACTGTTTACACGGTGATGTCGCTGACGAACTCTGGATTGAGGAGGGTGAGTTCTTGGCTTGAAGGTTTAGGGGAATGTTTACCGACTAATACTTTTACTTTTCTTAGGAACTGAAACCTTCAAAATGTTAGAATAAGAAGTGCTCTCCAGGCCTCCGGAGAGCACTTCCCTTACTGTCCTTTGGAACTTGAAAAATAGTTTCCTTTGAAACTTGTTGGTTACTTAATCGTTCCACGAGAAAGTTCTGAAATAAACTTTGTCAGCACATATTTATGTCGTTAGAGGACTTCAATCTTTAGTTAGTTATAAAGTTAGACAGGGGATGATGATCATAAAATGTTTTAGCTGAAATGTGCAGTGTTCCAGCTCTAATGAGTTGTATCAAAAACAAAAGTGTTGAAACTTGACAAATATGGGGCTCCCTGCTGGATGGTTCAAAAGACGTTTGAAATCCGGGATAAGAAAAAACACTGGTTGTTATAGGACAGACAGGGGCCATGATCCCTCAAGCGCATCGGCGGGTAAATAAAGGCACGAGATGCGCCAAAAATATTTCCTTCGCCGCTTGCTTACTAGCAGGCGTACTTGCACGCAATATAAATTAGTGTTAAGGTCAAAGCTTGAATCCACGAGATCAATCACATAAATTCGAGTCATTACTGTGGGAGACAGATGATTGAAAAATATGCTCTATTGTTAACGCATACATTTGAAGGCAATGTCTTGCGATATCATGAGGAAGTGAGCGTAGAGCAGCAGTTACACACACACACACAAAAAAGTCTATGCGGCGCCACTGAAACCGAAACCAGTTTGATTACAAATAGCATTAAAGGTAAGCGCTATTGTGAATTTACACGTTTAGACTTTTTGCATGTCTTGCAAGATCATGAAAAATTGATGCCAGAGGAACAGTTGGATTTTCAACATATATTTACGCCGCGAAACCGAAACCATCCTGGAACCTGACAGGTCGTGGCCGCATTCGCAAGCGGATAGCTCGATTATATTTCACACGGCGACAAGACATCGTTTGTCTGCAGTCCGAGGGTTCTTTCAACCAACCGCAACACGAAAAACCCCCTAAATTTACGAATATCTGGTCTGACAGAGCAACAAGGTTAAACGAATAAAAAACGAAAAGTTACAGTACAGCAGTCGGGAGGCACCCCAACGCAGCTCTTTACCTGATGTTACGTCAGACCTTGCGCCGTCGCCATTGTTGCCGACAAAAATGCCGTTTTTTGAAGACGGGTTTTCAGAAAAGTTTAAAATCCAATTTCTCGCGCGGAGGAGGATCAAAAATTCGGATATTGCGCGGAGGGTGGTCCTAAACAAAGTTGAAACAAAATTTAATTTTTTTCTTGAAGACGAAAATTGACCGGACAATCCCTTTAAGAGTTTAAGCTACCCCCTTAAAACTTCCCGTGTGACTAATTTCCCGCAAATCACTTGGAGAGTTAACTTTGATTAACAAAGGGAGATTGAAAAAAACGACGAAGCCAAGAAAGCATTGTCGTCGGAGACGAAGCCTACGATGCGACCCGGAGTGTTACGTTTCATACACCGCTGTTATGATCACTGAAACATTGCTGACTTCCGTCGTGTAGCACGTCAGAGAAACGCCTAATTTGGCACAAGCTTTAAAATTCCAGGGGCTTTATTTAAACCCAATTTCGTTTTACTCTACGGCGTTAGTCGGTGCCATATCACTATTATTTACGTTTCAGTGGTTTTTATCGGGCTCGACAGATCATTCCGAATATGACAGACTTGAGCCAAGTATAATAATAGCTTTATTTACCATACAAATGGGGTGGGAGCTGAGGAAAAAAGCTTTCTAAGCAGCTTGACTGGTCCTCAGCCCCCTCACAGGTACACAGCGGTTGCAAAACCATACACAAGAAATTATATAAAGCAAAAAAAAAAAAATAATAATAATAAAGAAAAAGAGCAAACAAGAAACCCTACGAGAGAACAAGTGTAATCAGATAATTACTTTAAAAGATAAAGAATCTCCTAATATCAAAGCAAAGAACAAACAAAAAAGAAAACCACGTACGAGGGAGTCAGTGCAATCACACAAGCACTTTGGATAGAAAATGTGTCCTAATATCACACATGCTACAGGATTCTATATCAAAATGACACCGGATCATTTTGTTCAGAAACGTTGGCAGTGTTTTTTGAATCATCTACAAACCTTAGTCACTACGAGATGCATCTACTACCCAGAAATCAAAATGGCGAGTAGAATAGGTTACAGGTTTGTTTCTGAGGGATACTAAGCGTATCAAAAAGCTGTTTATATTTTTATATTCCTGTTTATATATTACACACAGTCTAAAATCATAGTATCGAAATACATTCAAAACATCCAGCCCAATAAAAATTTCGTTAGTATGAAAATCATATGACACGTTGCGCATGATCCTTAGCACTCTTTTCTGCAGTAAAAATAGTTTTTGCAGGTTATTTTTTTGTGGTGATACCCCAGAATAGATGACAGTAGTTAAGTTGAAATAAAAGTAATGAGTTATATAAAATCAGCTTAACTCCAATAGGAAGAATATGACGATGTCTATGTAACATGCCTGTTAATCTGGCAAGTTTAGGAATTAAATAGTCCACATATTCGGTCCAATGAGAAGATTGCCCCCAAGATTTTAAATGTGTTTATTATTTCGATTGGAGAGGAGTCTAAGAGAATGTCGCTCGTTAGAATGGTATTCCTATTTTTGGAGCTGAAAAAGGTCGCCTTAGTTTTTTTCTTATTTAATTATGATAAGATTATTCGAACTATCCCAGGTCTCTAGACTTTTCATGGTTTTATTAGCAACACAAGAAATTTCGTTGCAATTTTTTTATGAAAAAAAGAGGCTGGGTGTTATCAGCGTAAATGATAAACTTTACGTTTTCTGCCATATTACGATATCATTGATATATGTAATAAACAGTAGTGGCCCCAGTATACTGTCTTGGGTACTCCAGATTTAATTGATTCTGTATCGGATAATAAACCGCTAATATTAGCCAACTGTTGGCGACTTTCTAAGTATGATTTAATGAAAAGTGCTGCATGTCCTCTGATACCATAAAACTCAAGTTTTCGAATGAGTAACTGGTGGTTAATATAATCAAATGCTTTTGTAAAGTCTATGAAAATGCCTAGGACTACATTCCTATCTTCTATGTTGCGTAAAATATATTCTTTCTCGTACAGTAAAGCGAGTTCCGTAGAAAGTTTCTTGCTAAACCCGAGTAAGACGATTACGTGTTATCTTTTTCTAAGCCTTTCAAGAACACTGGGAGAAGTGACACAGGCCTGTAGTTGTTTATACCATTTCTATCCCCTTCCTTATAAAGTGCAATACCATGGCTATCTGCATTTTTGGGGGGAATGTGGCGGTTTCTAAACAAAGATTAAAGATATATGCCAGATAGCAAGCGATGATGTCTAGAACGTGCAGAACTGGACGTCTCTGTATACAATCGGCGTCGCAGCTATGAGTAATGTTGACGGTGCGGAATACTGAGGCCACCTCTTCTTTAGTTACCGGGTTTAAATAGATCGTTTCATCTACGTTTCGATGGATATAAGAACAAGCATCGGCCATGTTGGGATGCCCCGTACGAACCGAACTACCAGCAGTGAAGTTTCATTCTGAACCTTAAGAAAAAAAAAGAAAAAAAAGGTCCCAAGCTGCCACATGAACCGCGAACAACCAGAAGTGAAGCCTAAATCCGACAATCTTTTGTAATTTAGGCTTAAGGATACCAGATGCAAGCCATATAAAGTCGCCAAGCCTTACTTAGACACGTGTACCGGCAAATTAGAGCCTAGATAACCAGTATTTT